TTCTCTTTCTTGGAGACGTCTAATTTCTAAGGATTTCTCTGAGCTGACACCAGCGCAGCTTCTGTTCTCAGAGCTCAGCTCGTACAACTTCTATGTGGCGAAGATGAAAGGACACGGCTCCAATCTGTTCCTTAAAAACAAGCTCAGTGCAAAGTTTCAAATGTATTCATTTCAAAAGCGACTCTTTTTTAATTCCAACTTTTGAAACTTGAAAATACCGTAGAAGGATTTGCAAATCTGCATTGGCTTAGAGTTCAGGTAAGTGCACAGGACATCTAGAAAGAGTATGAAAGTGATTTTTCCAGTTCAGACAAAAGGCGTTTGGGCCCTTCCCTCCAAATGTGTTATTTTGGTTTCAGGGCCCCCTACGGTGATTCCTGGTGACTCACTTCTTTCCAAGCCATTAAGGCTTTAAAACTTCCTTTGGATGAACCACACAAAGAGTTTTATCGCCGACGAGGGACCATTGGGCATAATGAAGTTCTGTTTCTTAGCATGAGTTTGGGAGGCTCCTGATTACAAATGCTTTTCTCATTGTCTCCCATCATCTCCTGCCTAATTGAAGACAATATAACGAGACAATGGGGTCCCGCTCATCATTCTGCATCGAAGACATGCTCCGTGGAACGTGCCAGTCTGTTAAAAGGGGGGTGTTGTGTAAATGGGAGGGTTTGCGTGTGTCTGTGTGGATACTTGAATATGCTCCAGCTTGTTTAATTTGCACCAAGAAGATGGACAATTAAACAGCAGCTCCCGGGAGGTTGGGGGTGGTGGTGGTGGGGGGGGGGGTGTAGGAGGTTCATTTCTCTCAGCTTTCCCACTTCATGGCCGCTTGCTCTTGAAAACCTCTCTCGGATGTGTCTGGGTCATGCATTAGGAGGTGGGGGGGTTTAGTAGGCGGGAAGGGGAATGGGTGGGGGCCTGCGTCTGGAGAGGTTGTCTCTGATGATTAGGACAGCCGAGTAGGGAGAGTCCCTCAGTGCCTGGCCTCCTTCACCTCCCTAATATGTTCTGAATAAGTCCCCCTCCGCTGTGCGTTTGTTGTCGGGTTTGGGGGGGGGGGGGGGGGGGGGGATTATGTCTGGCCATGGTTTAGGAGTGTTTGTCATCTGCCCCCTCGAGGCCTGCACCGGCTTCTTTGTCTGAGCGTCAGGCGTGGTGTACAATGTCAAATCACACAATGTGGTAATGCAATCAGGGCATCTCAGGTTAAGAACTGACACAGGATTTCATGTCCGTATTTTTGGTTTAAACACTTGTTTTCAACATCAATTTCCTCCACAGAAAGCTAGAATATTGCAGAAATTGCATGTTCATTGAAAAGTAGCAAATGCGACTCCATTAGCCCATTCTGTAGTCACATTTCGTATTTTCTCCATGTCCGTAGATGTTTCGTGTTACATAAATGAGGGTGTTCCCAGATAGGGAGAAGCACATTTAGAGTATCCGTTCACAATGTGTGGTTAGTCGCTCAAAACCAGCTCTGCCATTTTGCACTGACGTTCAACTCAAATTTCTTTGCAGACTTGCTCTGCAGCCGTAGCGACATCTTTGCTAATCTACAATTGCTAGTGTGAGAAATCAATTAAACTCTTTAACAGCTTTTCTAATTCAAACAGTGAGGCACTTATAAATGGCTTATTTCCCATTTATCCAGTCCGAAAATGCTATCACTAATGTTGTCGATGTGTCAGGTCTTTTGAGAAGCTAACATAAAGGGCTCCTGTAAAATAATAAGATAATGCTTGAAATTCATCAAAAACTATATCCACAGTACAATTCCCTTAAAAACAAGGCGTGATTCATATGAGTTCATATATAACGGCCTATTCCTGTTGCTTTCATCGTCTGGAAATGAGTCTCATGGTCTCAGAGGTGTTTCTATGGTTTCTCACAGTGCATCTCTGTATGAAATTGGGAAGAAAGATGCATTCATCTCCACACAATGGCTAACAAAGAGGCCACTGAGCCCCGACCAAATATCACAAGTGACACTGAAGACAAACAAAACGGTCTCGCTGCAAACTGAGGAGGCAAAACCTCCAAATGAATGATAGCAGGTCTGGAGAATTTAAGCATAGTGGGAGAAAATATATTTTTCTGTGCCTTTTGCATTCAGGTCCCATGGCCCCTTGGAGTACGAGGAAATGGCAAACATTCCTCCTTCAGTAACAAAATATAACCTTCCTTCTACTTCTGCACAATGACATCTACAATTTCAATCTTTGTCTGGAATTGTTAAACTGAGGTATTATCTTGATTTCACTACAAATTGTTTTGGCCTTATAAGTATTTCCACTTCATTTGGCTGTGCCTGAAGGCTATTTTTATAAAAATGTTTGAATAAGCCCTTCAAATATTGTGTCTGTTGGTAATGGAGGAGTAACTACCAGTTGTGTAAGTAGGTGTGTGTGTGTTTTCCTCGGCCTCATCTGACCCACAAATATATATATTATATATTAGTGCTTTTTTGCCTGGTATTTTGTTGTAGAAGGAGAATGTGGCTTGAATCTCAGCACGATTTGGGCGGATTTTAAAAGAAAATTCGTTCCCACCACCCAGAGTCCTCTGAGGTGAGAAAATGGGGAATTTAATTACATTTTCTTCCCAGAAACCTCTCTCTTTAAACACCTTTTGAGATTTGGAAGAGGTTGTAGAAGGTTATGGTTAACACTGGTTGATATAACAGCTTATGCAAATCAGCTGTGAAATGATTTTTTTTTGTTTTTTTGTGACACAAGAAAGCAAATGTAGTATTGATGATCTCTGTGTGGGGGGCAGGAAGCCTCGTGGGTTCGCGTCGCGTCTGCCACATTCTCCCAGAGGGCAATCTGCTTCCCTGCACGCAGAAACACACACACGCCAGCCACCGTTTTCCCCTCGCAGCGCGGCAGGAGTCGGTCTTCATCTGTCCTCTTGATTGATGAAGCAGGCGCGGCAGGGTTTCCGGGAGAGGCAGGAGTCTAGATCAAGGCCGTGTGCTGCATCACACACACACACACACACATTAGCTCTCTCCTGCTCAAGCACTTTTTTTTTGTTCTCTCTGTGTCTGTCACAGCAGAGACTGAAGACACAGGCAGTGTAGACATGCATACTGAGAGACATGACATACGCAGCAGTGCTGACACATACAATGTCATGGCTTAGAAAGACAGCGTGACACACACACACACACACACCCACCCACACACACAGAATGAATCGGCCTGGCCGTGCGTGGGCGTCAGCTGGTCAGACGTTTTTTATCAGCATAATGTTTTGGATTAGTTGGGGTTAATGATGCGACTGCGTGTGTGTCAGTGTGTGTGCGCACACATATGTTTTGGGGTTCCACTGTGCTGTCTCCATCACTTCCAAATGAGAGACGCCCAAGGCACCGTTACAAGAGCCGTACTTATGCTATTAGGGGGCTGGTTTCGTTGCACTAGCAGTGGTACCGGCACAAAACAGCTAAAATTACTTCTCTAACCTCAGTGGGCGGCAAGTATTTTCTCTGCATAAATGGGAAATGATATGTTCTTGTACTTCTACTACAAATTGTCTTTGGAAAATCATGTGTCTGAGTCGTGTACATTTAAAGCTTAGGAATAGAGCTTGTTCTTTCAGAGTAGAAAGAGAAATAAAGTTTTTTTTTCTTTTTTTTTTTTAAATTCGTCTTTACTGTGATGCTTAAAATGAACTTCCCTGGCCCAGCCAGAAATAGTCCTCTGCAAACAACCTTTCTTTCTGTCAACTGGAGTCGCTGGGTTCAATGAGGGTGTAGTCCCTCCAAGCCCACCACACACCCACACCCACCCTCCCTCCCCCAAAACACACCCTGAGAAAACCCTCACATCGACAAAAAAAGTAGTGGAATGAAAGACAGAAGAGAGCGAGAGTATATAAAAATAACTGCAAGACCCCCCCTAACCCCCCTCCTCCGTATCTTTCCCCCCTGGCGTTCCTGTCGAGCCACGCCTCCCGTTCCCGACAACCGGCATCGTCCGGGTCGGGGGCAAGTGGGCAAAAACAGAGGGGGAGGAAGGTCCAAACAAAGGAGCACTGTTGCCGGCTCGCTGGGTGTTGTGCGGAGGGTCCACGCGCGGGACTGTTTATCATTAAGAATAGAGATTAAAATGGGAGGGGAGCAGGCCGGGTGTGGGGGGGGGGCTGTTCTGCTCACAGTAATAAAGAGGACAGTCATTTTTTCACACGCATCCACACACACACACACACACACAATCCTATCAATGCTGCCGTTAGTTTGAGTGAGTGTGAGCGGCAGGGGAGGGATGGGGATGGTTCATTGTTTCCCCGCCATTGTACAATATTTGCTTAACCCTCCTGCTTTATCTGTGCAGCTGTATGCTACAAATGGGACGCGGCAAAAAGCGCGCGTGTGTGTGTGTGTGTGTGTGCGCGCGATGCCGGGTGTCACAGCTGTTAGCACTTTCACCCGTGCACCGTAACACACCACCTCCACACATACACACAGACCGCAGTTTGTTCTAGATAAAATCAATCTCCGAGCGGGACAATTACACGTCAACTTAGCCAAATAGAAATTGAGTGTTGAAATGGACACAACAACAAGCAGGTGTGCAAACTGTAAATGGGGCGACCATGCATGACGTAAAGGAGAATAATAACCATCATCAAATGGCTCTTTTTCTCTTCTGGTTACTAGTCTGTTCTCCCTGACCCCAACTTCAACCTTTCTCTTCTCTGCAAATACAACACCGTTTTCTGGTGCTCAGCATCGCCTATGTTTTTTTGCTGTTTTTAAAATAGTTACACAAAGCCTGGGAGGAAATGCAACATAACAAATTACATCTTTGCCTTCAGTGATTGTGCAAGAACAGGCTTTTCTAAATCACAAACCGTGTGCATTCTGCATCTTTTCACCTATTTTTGTTCTTACGTCTTTCTATGCGCAGAATCCTCTGATTTGAAAGATTTTTTTCTAATGCGGAGTGGTGGTACTAACAGTTTTCTGTCTTCTTTCCTGTCTGTGAAAGGTATAGAAGAGCTGGCAAGAAGACCCCCACCCCCCCCCTAACAGATCAAAGCCTTCGCCGCAGAGGGAAGGAAAGGAAGCTGAAGAGCAAATGAGGAGAAGACGAGCGATGAAAGAGAGGTAGGAGAGCTTGGTTCCTCCCGGGGTAATACATTGTTTTGTGTGTGTGTGTGTGTGTGTGTCCGTCTGTCCTCTTGTTTCCCTTCCACCTCATTGTCTGATTCAACTGTGTACCTGGGGAGGGTTGCGTGTTTTCATTTAACCTTTTCATTTAATTCAATAACCCAAAGTTTCCCAAAGTTTGACTCATACTGTGAATAATAGAATTCATGATTTAAATGATTCTTTTTATGTTTATATGTAACCAATGTATGAAACATTTCTTGCATAGATTAGCTTGACGTCATCCACATCAAAGGGTTTCATTTCTGAACACATCTAAAATTCTTTTTTGCTCAATTTTTTATGAAAGTTTTTATTTTACACATTTAATATAGAATTCATCGAACCAATTTATTTCCCAATTATATAAAATAGCCAATATTTATATTTGCAACGAACCATTGACACTATTATTACATTTTTTAATCTACCGTATTCTTTGAATTTCATGAATTCTTTGGTAAAGAATTTGACCTTTTAACAGTAATTACGATTTTAAAAATCCAATATTTCACAGATGCAGGTAGTAAAAAAAAAGCATTACTTTCAAAGAAAAGCATCGCCTAAAGGAAAAGAAACCGAGCGGTACCGGAAAAAGAGGCTCATATTGTTTCACCGGTTTCCCAAAGCGAGCTGCCTCAGAAAGTAATCTTCTCCCTCTGTGTGAGGCTCAAAGCAGCCGAATGTCATTTTCTGCCATGAAGGCACAGCTAGGACGCTGCCGCCGCACACAGACAGGGGGGAGGTTCAGAAGTAGCGGCAGAGTGAGGAAAAATAGTTTTTCTCAGTTCTAGTCGTCCTCAGAGGTTAAAATAGAAAAAGTGGTATTTTTCTAGTTGTGGCTCTTTTTCAATTCAGTCCAGTTTAATAATAATAATATATATTTTGCCGCCGACAGAACGAATGCAATTCAGCTTATTTCAGTTCCGCTCAACACATTTTATATCAATCCAGTCCAACTCTTCTCTTTTCTGTCTTTCACTCTCTCACATACTTTAAGTCTACCTTTTTCACACTACCTTTGCTTGACCAAATCTTTGTACAGTCCACAACCACCAAAAAAGAGCAGATGATGATGATGATGATGATGAAAGAGATTACACGTTGATTTTTTTGAAAATAATGAAAAAGAATAAGAAATGGGAGTTTCCTGTTTACGTCCATATCACCCCGGTTGGATGTGCAATACATCGACCAAGAGGGATAAGTTGAGTCACAAGTCGTACCAATATACACGACCCCATTGTGTGTGTGGAACGAGTCAAAACGCAAAGTCTGGGGAAGAAAGCAAGTAAAACGGTGGCGGATGTTGTAAACGTTTGCCCACAGCTCTTTCTTCTCTCCCCGTTCTCCTCTCCAGCGGGCCCTCAGAAGGAGGCCTTTCAGGAGCAGCCCAGTCTGCATAGGCTGCCTCTAAACTGCTGCCGCGCTGGAGAAGCACCGTGGTGCGCTTTCGCTGTCCACAACGTGTCACACAGTTTCATATTTAAATAAAACCCAAAACGCACATGACGGGCGAATGAGTCACTCCGTCAACTCGCATTGATTCACTGCAGGACCGGAGGACAGAGCGAGTAATTGTTAGGTTTCACGCTCACATCAAATAACCGGTAAAATGACGGGCGGTGCGTTACAATGGCGATGGGGGGGGGGGCGTGCTCAGTAGGGGAGCAGGCATGAAAGCCTGATGGACAAGTGTCGAAAATGGTAACATTTGTGTCCGCACAAAGGGAAGCGTAGAACAGCAGAGTGCTCTTCTATCAGAGCAACCCCCCCCCCCCCCCCCCTTCAGCAAAGACACCCACCAACCAACAGAGGTTTAGGATCAGACTGAGAGCTTTTATTGAGTTTGAAGCCGCAGCACCATCAAAATGACTGGATGGATGAAAGATTGATGAGGATGAGGAGGCAGATTTTGAAAAGATTAAACGGAGAAAGACTGTGGTGGGCAGATGAGATTTTCTGAGGGAGCAGGATTGCACAAGAAGAGGAAAGAGATGTTGGAGAAGATGATTTCAAAGTGAGCATGAGAGAATTACCCACCGGGGGGGGACGGGACTATAAATTCCTAAATTGCTGCGAGAGATGAGATGGAATTGAGGGGTGAGGACTTGATTCTGTTTTATGTCAAAATATATTTTTCTATTCTTGTTTTGCAAAAAAAAAAAATGAAGTGGAGAAAGAAGAGACTAAATAAATGAGATAACGGTAAGTTCTGTACTTCCATGATCCTTTTAGTTATCTGGTTGAAAAATAAAGGGCAATAGGGGAATAATCCAAAGACAGCAAGTGAAGTGTGAAATTGCAAAGTGCTGCTGTTCCCAACAATAACCTCTTGCAAATAAAGCTGAGAAAGAACACAGTTAAAGAAGGATTTATTTATATTTGACTCAGCGGGAAATGCCGTTTCGTAGAAATGCAGACGCTTCTCTAAGGAGTTAAACGCTGAACTCTTCACAAGTGACGCTTGCCATCATTAGGAAAGAAAACATTTTCTTTTCATTAAGTGCTCGTCCAAGGAACGCTGCCCGACTCCACTCCCACTCTCCAGTAAGCACATTGAGCGTCTTCACAAGGCGAACCGACAGTGTCATCGCTATTTAATATCTAATAATATAACTTTTTAAATGCTTAAAACAAATCCAAATGCAGGATAAATGCCATAAAGCCAATGTAACTTAAAACATTCTACAATTTAATCTTACAATTTCTAGTCTTTAACGATATACTTTAATTGTTGCTGTATTTTTCTCTACATCCAGTACTACTTACGTATTTGCTGCATATTTAAAATGAATAGTAATTTCAGACATTCCGAATTCCCTTTTCAAAATGTAGATTCCAGCCTTCATTCGAGTCTTTTGTCGGTGATTCATACTGACTTCATGAGCCGTGCACCAAACTTTAGCTCATTCCGATGGCGGTGGCACGGTGGCGTATTGTGTCTCCACTTGTCAAACTGCGGGAGCTGTACAACAGTTACCTTTTTTTGTTTTTTTTGTGCCGGGTTTTATCAGTGGGTGAGAGAATGGAAAAGAGTCAAAGGCCCCCCGAGCTTTCCATAATGCGTCCCGGGAGGAGACAAAGGCCCGCATTCACTGCTGGGTGTCGATAAGGCCTATCATTAGTGTGCCATTGGAGGTATTACCAACACACACAAACACACGCCGAGTGCAGTAGGGTATTCCTCTACCCATTCCCTATTTCCACGTACACATGCATGAATATCTGTGTGCGTGCCAGAGGAGGAAAAGGGGCAGTCAGGCTTGATTTTGAAATGAATAAAGCCAGAAGGATGCACCGCCTGCTGCGCTCCCATCGCTGCCACTCAGCTACGCCTCTCCCTTAAGGCTTCCTCTCTACACGGAGGCTTTTTAAAGTAGCCAACAACCGCCAAAGAACCCTGGTGTTAATACGCTATTGAAAAAATAATTTTACTTTTATGTTTTAGAGCCACCTTGCATTTACAAAAAAAAAGAAGAAGAGTATGATTGGATAACCTATTAGGGCGTAGGCATAATACCTCACCCCCTCACACCCGCCCTCCTTCTCGTTTACACTCAGGAGGAAGACTGCACCTCTGTCTGGGTCCTAAGTAGATGATGGACCGTAGCTCGTATTCCCATCCTCATTCATTCATTCTCATTAGCTCAGCCCTCGAGAATAGATGTGAGGCTGCTTAACTTTCCTTGCTATTTCCCGGCCAAAAGGCAAGTGTTGGCACGGGGTCATTAGCCTCACTGCTTGGAACAAATGGCCTCTGATACAATCCCCGCTGAAATACAAGCTGAGCAGATTAACCCCTTGATCCTTGGTGGAGAGCATATTGAAAAGCCACCACGGAGGTGTGATGACCAATTTCTTTATTTTTAGCCTCATCCATCTTAAATTAGCTATGTCGTGCTGGTGTGGTTTGTTTTGTTAGTTTGTTTTTCGCAGGCCCCTTTTAAGTTGCTTTCTGTTTTTTAGAGGGGCTTTGGATCTCATCGCACTCGAGCTGAACATCACAGTTTGCCTAAAATCCCCAAACACGGTGAGAGAAGTGGGCCGAGGATCAAAGCTGGGAGGATTTGTCTGTCGCGTAGCCGCCGGGGTCGGCCTGCGTATCTCTCCGTGTCTTCATATCCCTTTCTGGACATCAATCGGTTTTCCCCCCTCACACTGCCAGTTGAAAATTATAGATGATAAAAATAACAGTGCAGTCACAACAACCTCCTCCCCGGAGCAGACGCCACGTTTTTTCTTTTTCTTCGTGCAGGTTTGGATATTATTGTCTTTTCATCCCACCTCTTTGGATACAGTAAAACAATCCACCCACTTGATTGCATTTTGTTATGAAAATAACTTTTGACTTTGAAAAGGCTGTCAGAATGAAGTGTGTCAGGGTACAGGAAGAAATAACCCAACTATAAACAACATAAAAAGAGAAAAGCGACTCCTCGCAGTGCTGAATAGGTTTATTTTCGTCTTGGGTCAGTGTCTCGGTGAGGTTTGTGGCCTGGTGGCGGGCGGGTGGCTTAGATGTCTGTTTCGGGCAGAAAGACGCGCCCCGAGGATGGATATAATTAAGACGAGTGACGGCTCTTTTTTTTTCGGGAGGAGGGAGAGTGTTTGGGGAACCGCTCTGGGTGGTCCATAGCTCTACATGCCTGCGCTTGCTTTATTTAAAGAAGACACAACATTGTAAGAACACAGACGTGTTGTGACTGAGCACGGAGATCAGTGCATTCTGTACGTTCGCACATAAAAGGTAAAGAAAGGCAAACAGTCGCGCCGCTCGTTTCCTCGCCTTGTTTGGACACGGCGCAGGAGATTTAAATATACGTCTGAATTGATCAAAGCAGTTGGCAAACATACCTGACGTTCATTGGGGTAGACACGCACTTACAAATCATTCCTTCACTTTACCGACAACAGAGTGTCGGTGCCCTCGGCGTTTCATCACTGGACCAACTTCGACTACTTTTAACATCAAGCATTCATCCAATCATTTAACAGTCATATCCTGCCCTTCAGTATTGTATTTACTTTGAAATAAAATAGACAAGTAAGGCTACTATGTAAGACATCTGACTCTGAGCATTTCCCATTTCAACCCCGGGTGGCCCAGTCGAACTCTTAACTCAGGTTGGTGTTGATTTTTGCCCGTTGGGCTGCGCAGGAGCACGAGCACAGAATTCGCCAAATCAAAAGGGTGTGTTCAGTATATTCTTGGAGGGTTTATTTGCTTGACCCTCTAAAGCAGTCAGGAGAGAAACCATCACCCTGTCTGACTAGAAATCAGGTGTTTTTGCCAACGTAGCACAACTTTATCGTTTAATTCTAATATCGTTTAATATCGTTCTTCTAACAACAACGCTGCGGTTTAAATGAGGCTCACGCCAACCACGGAAAGAAATATTGAAGCATCTAACTGACGCGCACACATTTTCCAACAAACTAATCCATCCAAGACTTCCGTTATTTTACAGAAAATCAACATTAAAACTGAAAGGCCAATGAATATATCAGCTCTTCACAAACTCAATTATTGCCGTCTTCTCGTTAAAACACAGACATCCATTATACCATCGAACCTGTCCCTTATTTTGCAACCTTTTTCTTTCCATTCTTGTAAATTGGCTCATTTAGGCACAGCTCTTTTATTGTTGCTCTTTATTTTGCGGGGCCTAAACCTGTGGGTGGTCCCGTTCCTTTTTCTATGCACACGGATCTGTTCATATGTATAAATTGGTGACCGCGTTTCGGCAAGTCTGCTTGCTGGAGTGGAGAGACGAGGAGGCAATGGAGTGGAGGAAGTGGAGAAAGAAAGAAACAATAGAAAGGAGCAGTAGCTGAGGGATGTGTTCCTTCGGCAAGACGTGAATAGTAAATGGCGTGTATATTGTGGCAGATGCAGGCAATTGAACAGTGGAACTTAAGAGAGACGAGGCGGGAAGTTCTTAGGCGGCACAAGGAGCTTTCATTTCTCCCCCAGCTTTCCTGTGTGGCTCCGTTTCACTGTATTTAACATCAAAGTGAAGTACGAACACTCCAGGCAAGTTTTCTCCTGGCCAAGGTCGATCGTTGTTGCTTTTCATTGAATGTAGATCCGGCTAAGAAGCTAATTCAGAGGAACCATATTTCACTTTGCAAACCACCTTTCTGCGACCTTTCGAACAGGCCTTTTATTCTTTTTCCGTTGTGCTTTCTTTCGCAACTAGGTTTGCAAGTTGCACGTTTAATTTCTTGGAATTTTCTGGTCCATTTATTGCATTTAAGGTGTGTTTTTCTTTTTTCTAGCGTATGGTTTCGCTACAGCTTTTTCCGGACTGCTTTACATTATACAAGGGACTGACTGCATGTAATATGAAGCGTAGCATATTACTACTACAATAAAAACTCCCCTGTTTACAGTGTTTACACAAACCTAAAATGGAACTGGTTTGGACTTGCATGGCATACTTTGAGTTTTTTTGTTTTTTTTTTGCCAAAGACCACATGCTTGAAGCAAAAAAGTTAAAGGATCTGAGATGGACTTCAAACAGGAGAGGGATCAAAGAAATCATTAACGGCCACAGCAGCAAAAAAAAAAACCCCGATGACTGGTTGTCTCGATGGGGAACATTAATGCGCTTATTGACTACAAATGAACCGTGAGCATTCAGCGTGCACAGAGAGACTCACGACGGGAGGAGAAACAAAACATCAGGGGATGCACAGTATGCATGTGATTCATTACAGCAGCTAATAACACAACGAGTTATAATGATTTCGCATTCATTTATAACGGATTCTATTATATAGTAACCCATTGAATTGGAACACTCGTAAGAGTTAACTTGTACTTGTAAATGAACAAATGTGCTAGTTTTTTTTTACACTAAATATTTTCACTGTAAATATACTTTTTGATAATTCATTCTGTCACGTCACTCCCACCCTTCACGTGTCAGTCGCCAGCTCTACATAACGCATGACGGTCAATGCTGCCATTATCTCACAATGCCTTTTTGTGTTACGGGAATCTCTAAGAGAGCGTTAGTGACATTTTATCTTTGTTAGAAGAGACGTAACAGCCATCGATTGTAACACTCAATCACTTGGATGTTTTTATCTGACTGAAAAAGGAAATGGCCTCGGAAAGCTGATTCACTATTTTAGCGTTAGCTGGGCTCTTGTTCTTCAAGCGTCACAGTATTAATTCTTCCAACAACTTTGCCTACTTCCAAATTTATTTTTTTATTTTTTTAAATCACAAATCGTGTGTTAATGTAAACACACGGCGGCGGCTTTTCATTGTTTCTCAAGACCACCCAGCATCTAAACAGGAACTGGATCGTGTGTCAGTATTGTTGTACTTGTTAAACTAACTACTGTTACATTCATCCGTCAGTTACGTTAAATAATGTAAGTTAGTGCGTGTTTAATGTAACAACATGCTTTACCAAAAAAACACCTGAATTCAATCTCCGCTTTCTTCCTTTGTGTTTGCATTCTGTCCAGGTCCAGACATGAAGGGTGCATGAATTCACACACACACACACACACACACACACACACACACACACACACACACACACACACACACACACACACACACAGGGACCGGCACCTTGAGTCTGTCTGCGGTCGCCACCTCCCCGCCGCACCAACGCACGACGCCTGCTGTTACGGTAAGAATCACAGACCACCGAGTTAGAGCATAATAACGGTGTGAATGGGCGAAAACAAGCTCATTATCCGCTACCATTTTACCCTCTGAGTAAATTTAAAGCCAAATTGACTACTTGTGTTCCAAAATGCTCTGAATTCACGAATGAAAGGAAATATCTGGTCAGTGACTTAACCTCTAAAAATGAGTTTGCTAGTGTAAAGTAAATAATTTGTATAAAGGAATGTCTATTATCCAATTTGGATGGCTCATTCTGGAACAAATCTTAATTTATGCAATTTCATTTTCATTTTAATTGTATGCTGTCATGCATGCCATTCCGCGTGTGTGTGTGTGTGTGTGTGTCTGTATGTGCTAACGCACAATTCCGGCTTCATTTTTCTATTTCCATCAGTCAAAACCAATCTCCACCAGTCCCGTTTAACAGCCGCACCACATAAGCCGTAAACGCCCGTATGCGCCCCTCCCAGGCTCACCGGCATCCTGCTTTGCCCTCCATCCAAAAAACAACAACACCCGTGCTGACACGGCACTGTGTGTTTGGTATTTGCCGCTCTTGTCTCATCTTTTTTTTTCTCTCGTTCCGCTAGTGTGTTTAGAAGGGTTCAAAGTTGATTTTGATGTTCATTAAACAGCGGCCCGTACTTAAATTGCACCTCTAGTTACCGTGACTGAAGTTCACACTGAGGTAAGAAGGCACTAATGCAGTTCTACACTGTTTCATTTTTTGGCCTTCATAAATTACATTCAGGATGATAATTTGTCCCAGTGAACCTCGCGTTATGAACTGTTTTGAACGCAATTACTCATAAGGAAAGAACGAATATATTCCAGGATGTATCCACTAAATGTGAGCATCCGATGGTGTTCCTGCGTTGGATTCATGTGTTTCAATAAGCCCACGTGACAAGATCACAGCATTGCAGTTTGATCTGAGAAAACAGATAAAAGAACATATTCTACGATTGGTGCTTGAAAGAACGCTAAGAGGAACCGTCTCCGTCCTTATGGTTTCTAGCTGCGACGACACACTCCATCAATTCAGCTTTGCCTGCGCAGCGCTCGCTTGGTGAGCATGAGAGAGAGAGATAGTATGTGTGTGTGTGTGTGTGAGTGTGTGAGTTCTGGCTATTAAAGCACTTGAGAATCAGCGAGCAAAGGGACCTGCACCGCTAATGGATGTGTCTATTGATGTTCCCATTTAACAGCACACTGTAAACGATAGGGCAATGACTGTGTTGAAGACGGAAGGAGGGTGGAAGAGGAGAGGGAGAGCGGCTTGGCTAGATATTGACATGGAAGGTTATTATTTTGCGCCCTGCGGAGTCTCTGCTTTGTGTGTGTGTGTGTGTGTGTGTGTGTGTGTGTGTGTGTGTGTGTGTGTGTGTGTGTGTGTGTGTGTGTGTGTGTGTGTGTGTGTGTGTGTGTGTGTGTGTGAGAGAGAGAGACACTCTTTCTCCATCTCTCGCTCCTGTCGCTCTCCCAGTCTATTGGCTATTATTCAGTTCTCACTTTTACTTCCCAGTTTGCCCGTCTCTCATGACATTACTCACCACTGCTAGTTTACATCGCTCACATCCCGTCGTGTTTGCCTTTTGTAAAACGTTTATTAGAGTAACTCTTTAATAACGGTAAATAGAAATGGCAGAGAACGCAGTCACAGACAGACAAACACGTTCTTCATTGTGATGTTCTTGGAATAGCAGCCTTCCCCTTGAATTATTGATTTACTCACCAGTGGTTTCCAGCTGTGTGTGTGTGTGCGTGTGTGTCCTGTTGGTTCCCATCAGTGTGTGTGTGTGTGATGAATATGAATCCGGTCAGTCAGCCTGCAGGTTTGGCAGGAGAACACCTCCAGCTGGACTCCACGGTGTGCGTTTGGTGTTTGTGGTTGTACACGTCAGCCTTCATCTGTCAGTGGCGTGACGACCTGAGGAGGAAATGACAAAACATTTAAAAGACAGCTCACCCAGAGCTCCAGGAGCCCCTTGTGCCACTCATTTAGACCTACAAATAACCCTCACATAACAAAATATTTACGTAATGAAATCTATTATAACAATAGATAGTCGTGATTAATTAAGACCATGTCTCAGTTCATGTTTAATTCTTACCTTCAGTCCAGCTTGTTTGCTTTGCAATTTGTTTGTTAGAAGAAGGAAAGAAAGAAAGAAGTCAATCTCTCTCTCTCTCTCTCTTTGTGTCTGTAATCGCAGGGCAGCAAATAAAAAGAGAGACGCCATTCCAGCTGTGAGGAGACGGAAGAAGTCAACACACACACACACACACGGAGCCGGAGGCGCGCGAGCAGGTGAGCATTAAGTCAGGCAGCTAAAGCGATCACGTCGCGGTATGATATCTGCAGACAGGCAGACAGAGGAGGCCGGTCTGTACCTGCAGGCACAGAGCAACAACTCGCAGGCGCACTCGCCAGGAATGTCCTCCTCCTGAGACACGGAGACAGACGGAGAGAGGGAGGCTTCTTTTGACTGACGTGTTTTAGGCAAACCAAAGCCTGATTACAAACTGGCCGGCAGATACTGGATTTCAGATACTTTACCAGCAATATTTGATTAAAAACAGTAAAGATACATTTACTGATTAAAACACCAGAGGCCTGTTGCCAGCAACGCATGTAAAAACCGATTTATTCCAATTTTAGTTTTGCTGTAAAGAACTTTCAATAATACTAATATCAGCTAACAATGAAGGACGTTGGTGTCATTACTCAGTTTATAACCATCTAGATTGTAAAACTTGCTGTACTTTCTGCATTTTTTTTCCATCTTTCTCTTTTCGGCATTTAGTTTTTATTTTCAAATCAGGTCGTGATGAAAAAAAAAAAGTATTTCTTTGTAGTTTCCCACCAAACAGTTTTCTTTTTGCACGCCTGAAATTATTGTTATGGAGTAATAATAATTTGAGGCTATACTTAAGAGGATAATGAGATGAACTCTCCCAATATTTACCCTCCTTTGCTAGTTTTCTGCTTTTCATTCATAAACAACCAGCTCAGCACATGTCTGCAGCCGTCTGTGGTGTCCATAATCACATTCAAGATAACTACCCTTTGGGGAAAACCCGTCAAGAGTTTTGGTTTCTCTACCAAGCGGCATTTCTCTGAACCAACTGTGGTTTTTGTTTCTGCTTGAGAAACCTAACGGCAGATAAAATGGAGAGCTGCTGCACACACATATCTTTTTCTGACTTGCCCTGCCATGTACAACTTCTTGTTTTTTCCTTTATATTTAGCCCCAAAAAGAAAAAAACGCGTCAACAAAACGTGTAGCAGTCACAGCTCTCCCCACATGAACTACACACATCCACTTCCCTGAAAAATGATTCAGTGGTTAAATGCCAGAGCTGTCCGTGCCATTAAGGCCAGCACGTTTGACGGAAGGGCGACGTTTACATGCCCTCTCCCCTCCCCTCCTTGCTCTGTCTCCTCTCATTCCCCTCATCCTCTCCCTTCTCCGTCTCTCCCCTGACTGCACCGCCCGCCTCCTCCACCCTCTCGCCACCCCGCCAACTCGTCTGTCCCCTCCCTACCTTCCGCCCACCCCGCATCCGCCCAAGCCCGGGCTGGTTTGAGGGCTGTGAAGACCTTGTCATCCAAATTAGGGCCACGCCGTCAGCTCAGGGCCCTTGTCTCTCCAGCTGCGTGTCCGGATCCTTCGTCCTGCTGTCACCCTCGTCCTGCGGCCAGAGAAGACCTTATAGAGCAACATTACTTCACGTCCACTTCTGTCAATTCCGACTCTGTCACTCAAATCAGGGCGCGCGAGAGTGGAGAGGGGGCAGAGTCCCTCGCAGCAAGGACTGTGCTTTTTGGCGTCAGCAGATGTGTCAACAGGATTTGGGTATTTTGAGTTGGGGGAATTTTTTTTGCTCATAACTGTCCAGCTCTTCAGTGGATATACAGGGAACGATAAAGGAGATCTTGTGATTTAAAGGAGAAAAGAGAGGTGGGACCTTCATCACTGTTAGTAGAACATATCATTGTTTTAAACATTTTAAGATTGATTATTCAACGTGTTTTGTTTTGATTCACAGTAAAAGGGAGATATTTATTATTATCCCTTATTTATTTAAGGGAAATATTTTTTCCTTATAAAAATGATTATTTGGCAGAGTTATGCAGCAGATCATCTTAATGACTTCTTACCCTGCTGTAAAAGAGTTTGAGCGCCATTTTTATTTATCATCTAACCACATCTTGACTCACCGCCACCGTTTTATTGTCAAGTCCTTTAATTGCTACATCCCCTCTGTGGCTTTGGATTTTTGTTCTCACCAACAGCATTTTTCTATTTCCGATAATGAGCAACGATGATTCAGATGTGTAAAAAAAAAAAACCAACTGTACGCGTTGGGTGACAGTTTCTTTTACTGGTATTGCTGCAAGTCCACGTAGCCACGTCATAGCGAAACAGCAGATGCCATCGATGTGGCTGAGTCGTCGGTTTCATTTCTTTCTCTTTCTCTTTCTCGTCTTCTACCTCGCGTGAAGCCCTCGAGGCTCCGGTGCCTCTCTAGAGGCCGCGCCGCTCTGCTTCAACACCCGCGACCGGCTGCAACCTTCACCCAGGTGCTGCTTTAACGAAAAACCCGCGCTGAATGAGTCAGGAGTTTCAAGATGACTTCACCTCATCCAACTGCTACACACAGTAAAATGTCTCGCTGTCTTTGGTGTCCTTCTGACCCTCCGTCGTGGAAGTTAATAGTGCACAGACTAGTACTACTGGGGCAAAGCCAGTTGTGTTTATTTTTAATGCAAGCAGCTTTAGTAGAAGAAGGCACACGGGTTATGAATAAACTGCATTTTACACACACGCAAATCTTTTTTCATATCTCCTATTCTAAGGTAAAGTATGTGAATGAGCAACACCACGTGCAAGGAATGAGGACAAAAAGCACCATTAGATGTTCATGGTGTATGCATGTATAGTGTGTATATGTATTTATCATCAGGTGTCTGTTTAGAGGAATTTACTTGACGGAAAAGATATAATCAGTATGACTTCAGCGTCCTCCCTGCTCAGAGTTAGAAGCCACACAGAAAAATCTGGCTTCCTCCTGCACCTCCAAGCGGAGCGTCATCGCTGGTCACCGTCAGGTCTGCGCTCGCCCCAGTGAACATTCAACGCTGTCGGTGAGTTTCTGCCATGTTGGGAAAACCATCGACCGTTGATTGTACCCTGTGGAGAGCCACTTTCACTCGCTGTCTCCGAAATCCGGAATGAAAGGAAACCTGGTTGAAACCCACGCAGGAATGACCAAAGACCCCGGGACGCATCCCATGAAGAGCACGGCACACGTCCTCGTCAAACAAAGCAACTCCCGAACCACAGCAAAGGTCACAATCAACATTCATTGCTGTCGGTGGGTTTAACTGTGGAAGAGCTCACTGAACGATGAATGCAACTGTGTCCCAGATTTCATCCCAACGTCACAAGGAATCGCGTCACGATATGCTGATAATGGCGTTATTCATTTCCCGGATTACTTCCCCCCCCCAAACACAGGCAGTGAGAATTGTCTGTGGGTTGAGATTGAAGGTGAGACATATAAATTAAAGAGACGGTTGGGAGAAAATTACCCTTAAAGCAGAAAAATAGGTAGTATGATAGTATGGCTCGCTTTACATGTAGTTCAGATAAATGATTTATTTGCTATAGATATTAGCTTCCAAAATGATGAGCTGCTTTTTGCAGAAAAATATATTTGCATTTTAAAAGTCATGATAAAAAATAAATAAATAAATAACACCAGCAGCTAAAACCGTCAGATTTCACCCAAATATATTAGTATTATTCTGTTTGATAGGACGAATGCAGGACGCAATCGAATGGTAGGTATGTCATTTTATCCTCACCTGTTTATTTAATGTGGAATAAAATCTAATCTGCCTTCTACCTGTATTGCTGTATTTTATATAATAAAGTCACCGGTTCAGTCTTCATTGATGTCATGAGTCCTTTTCTTTACATCATTCTTTGGTGTAGTTGGAAAAAATGTCATAGCCTGCTCGTGGCTCAGGAGGAATAAAAGTTTTTACAAATAATATCAGTCGCCTCAAATATACCTACATCATGTCAAAAAGAGAAGAGGAGGAAAAATGGGAAAAGACAGGTAATGTGACGAATTAATAGTTTATTACTTAGTAGTTATTGTTGGACTAACAATAGACTATAGTACGCTAATGTTTGGTACAATTGGTTCCAATATTCAGGTTTTGAAATCTCAATATTTATATCAATTCTTTATATCTAAAATAGTCAACGGCTGACATTTCACACATCAGGGTGAAAGAAACGTTTTTTCATTCTTCATAGTTTTTGTTGTATATCAAATATGAAACAAATAATGGTGCTGTACATTGTTGAAATTGTATATCATGACAAACCTCAAAGTGGGTAGAATAAACAAAGTCATAGTTTTCATTTAAAGTTGCGTCGCAAAGATTACACTGCAAAGTATGAAATAAAAAAAGTCATAAGAAACCAGTATGCGTAAGAATAGTATGTCATGGAAAAGGAAAATGTAATAGTACAAATTTTATTTTGTAACAGTATGTAAAGTAAAATGTAGTTTGTTGTAAAAAATGGCATATGGTTCCAACAAATGATAACAATATAGTGTAGAAGAAAAGCGATATCAATATGCATGGTGCATATACAGTATATATATATATATATATATATATATATATATATATATAACTATATGATCCTTAAAATAATTTGATTATGTAGAATTACACATACAATCATCATATAATGTGATACTCTAGTCTGCAATAAACTGAGGTGTATCTATTCAAAACTGAATTTTTAAAAAATCTTTGAATGATATGCCGTAGAAATATATAAATTAAACGGTGTGCTGCAGAATGTATAGTGCCCATGTGGTACGTCACAAAAGGCACTAACATAGCAAAGTATAATATGCTGTATAAATGTCACTACAAAAAGTAATATAATATCCCACAATGTCAAACAAAATAAAAATATTTCTTAATATATCATTCCAAAGAATGGTATAGTATACTGTAGAAACTGCTATTATAACCATAGTAATATACCATAAAAATGTATTTGAAAAGGTAATTCTATGATATACCATTGTAGTATGCAAGAAAAAATGTAATGTAGTATGTCATAAAGTATCATGATATACAATCTAAAAATGTACTGTAAAAAGTAAAGTAAAAAATATAACCTAGCATAATATAAAAGTGGTAGTAATAGTATATAGATTGTAGTAATAGATCAAATTTGACAAATATCTGTAGGCCTAATATGTTTATTTCCAGGTCCTTTGTATTATATGATTTAAATGTATTTGTCCTAGGAACATAAAGCGTAAAGGCTTGTTTTTTTTTTTTTTTTTCATTGATATCTACGGGAATTGGTCGTCATTCATTTATTGTAATTCTTCCTTAATTCAACTCGACGCTGCCTTGAAATGGTACAAAGTACTGGAAAGCCTGAATAAAAGCTGATAAAACAATGGCACAAGGTAAAAAGACAGAGATAAACCTTTGTAGTTGTACGTGTGTGGTCATTTGCATTATAACTGAATGACTAACATACATCTCAACATTACAGCACAAGTTAAAGTCTGTCAGTCTAAGAGATGTGGACCATATCACAGTTGCAGGTAAACCATTTGCTAACCCTAAGTAGATATTTAATAAAATACGGGGAATTGCAACGACTAGGCCTAGAATATCAAGTAACGGATAATGGCCCCAATGACCCCCCCATGAACTTTAAAGATGTCCTTGTTGAATGGTTCAGTGGCTGTGTGGGATTGCAATGGTACAAACAGGGCAGCAACTCGCTGCTGCATATCGAATTACCATGACAATGTCTGAGTAATTATGTTATACTTATAACGGTTTGCTTCACAAAATGAGAGGTAATTGTCATATAATCTATTTACACGTAGTTTGTCAAAGCAGTGCTCGATGAAGACTCGTTACTATGTGACAGGTACAATCCTACAATGAATGGAAAACAAGTAATTACTTGACTTGTCCACTAGAGGGCCACCAGATAACAGACAAACAGGGAAGAAAGATCCAACCAGCAGAGGTTCACGTTAAGTGTATTTTTCTTTTGACTCCAGGGAAGAAACAAAGTCAAAGATGATGTTCATAATGAACAGAGAGCACTGCGTAACAGGTATGAGTAAATGATGGAGACATGAATGATACATTTATTTTTGACAATAAATCCAACATATCAAACATAGCTCACAATGAGGTGCCTTTTTAGAAATATAAGTAAATGCACAGTCATTGATATACACATCAGTTGTCATAGATATTTAATCTCATGACATTCATATCATAATAAAAAGTAAATGCCAATGATCAGGTGATCTTATGCTTTGATTTTCTTTAAGCTGAGGAGAGGGATGTAAAAAAAAGAACATGTTTGTTTACAAACAGTCCATATTAATGCATTTTGTATGAAATAAAACGTTCAGTCTCTAGATAATTGATCAAGTGCATTACATTGGGTAGACAAATGATGCTGATGCCATACATTTGTGCACCATGACATGAGATAATAAGAAAATACAAAATAAACAAATTTAATTCTAATTAGCGTCAAAGAAAAAGATGTTGAAACATCCTCAAACCAGTGTTCTGTGACTATACAAACTAGTTCTGTCTCCCTAACTTAACATACGGCTGATGCACTAACAACAAACAACCATTCAGTTCTACACTACAATTGTAAAGTCACACCTACAAGAAGAGTACACAAAGACACACACACACCGATCAGTCCTGAACACTCGCATATCATCTGCTTCCCCGCAATGCAGATTTTTAACAAAAACAAAGTAGCACAAGAAAGGAAATGGAAATCCAGTGATATTAGCACATTAAGTTTCTAAAAATATAAACATCTTTGTTGATTTATCCATTAAAACCAATAATGCTAGTCAGCCTCAGCTAAACGTACGGTCATATATGTTTACAGAACTACAAAATGTGATTCTCTACCAGGCTTATTTGGTAAATGACACTCACAGCTTGTTTAGTTTTTCCTTTCTGAATTAACTTGTGTATGGGAAATGTGACAGAAGTCAATTTGATTGTACTGAAATGCCTTTAAATGAGTACTACAGAGAACCAAATGTCCAAACTTTGTTCTGTTCATGTTTTTCCTTCTGTAAGACTGTTCATGTTAATTAACCCATATATTTTATTTTACATATTATTCTACCCATCAGTATTTTGAAGATTCATCAATGTTGTCACATCTGGGCAGATTAGAAGTCATTTTATCAAACACAATTCACATTTGGAAAACAAGTGAAATGATCTTAACTGATTATATGGAAGGCGATTGAGATGACGGAGTTAAGGTATAAAAGAAACAATATTTCAGGGGATTCCTGAGATCTTCATTTTGTAAACCCCCACACACTCTTAAACACATTTTTTTTAAATCAAAAGAATACTGAAACAGTGGCTTCTCCTCTGCACGTTGGCTGTTGTCCCCCCCCCCCCCCCCCCGAGTGGGAGGTACTACTGTCTGATGTCTGCTGGTCTGAGCTGTCTCTCACCCTCTGCAAGGAAGATCTGCATGGCCCTGTAGAGCAGGTGGACGCCCAAGTCCCGCTTCCTCTTCACCTGCCAGGTGGACACGACGCCGTAAAAATCCCCTCGCTTCTGATTGGTGAGCATCTTCAAGCCTGGTGCCATTGAAGAGTAAAGAAAAAAAGGGTTTTAACATGCTGAACTGGTGTAATTCAATGGGTTTACGTATTGTTTATGGTGTTGAACATTTAAAAAAATAAAATCATATGCTAACAAAAATGTGGTACAGTCAAACAATTAGCTACATCAATTAAATGTGCTATATAATAAAACCAAAGTTGTTTAAAATGAGATTGTTGTCACATGGAGTAGGTTTTAAAAAATTCTCATGAAACGGGCATTGAAGGAGTGATTTGAAGCTGAAGGAGAGTTTCTGCCCTCGCCGTGCTCACCGATGGCCTCCACCATGCAGGCCTCTCTGGTGTAAGCCTCCACAGGGACGACATTCTGGAAACAGTGCAGAGAGACGACGCCCTGCTCCGCCTTCCACACCTGAAGGATGTGCTGCACCTTGGGGCACAATTTCTGCCACAGAGAGTATTTTGTTAGACCTATCTAAACAATTGTGTGCATCCGATTCATTTAAATGGACTCTGATAAGACCGATCTGTGTGTGTGTGTGTGTGTGTGTGTGTGCTGCCTTACCTTGGAAGTCTTGTCTCCTTTGAAGTACTCTAAAGCCTCGTACAGGTGGCTGTACGGCCGGGAGCGTTTCCCTTTGCCCACATAAAATATTGCGTTGGTAAACGTGTGGAAACACTCTTGTGGGGTCATGGTCTGACTGCGGAATGGAAGGTTTTTTGTCACTCTGGTGGAGGAGAAAAAAGAAAACAGCCATTTTAAAATGGTGATTAAGACGAAGGTCACTCGTAAAAATACACTGTGAGTTAAACATCGCTTTAAGTGTAGTTTTATCTCTGTTTAGAGTTGATAATGTAGCTGATAAACACAAACACGTTAATAGATACTGCGGTTTCAAATTTAGCAACTGCTTTACGTCCGGTTTGATCATCCCAGTGACATTAGTGATAAATGACAACTGACAAACAGGTTCTTTCTCTGATCAACGGTGGAAAAACATTTCAAACTGAAAAAAAAAAAAATCAAATGGCTGGAGTAGTAGAAATGATTTTCTATCCTGAGAGGGCCAAAGAAATAAATCCCAAATCAAGAGGCGGCCGACCTCGGGTCAAGCAGCAGGTAGTTGAAGCTGGACTTGATGATGCCCTCCCTCCACTTTCTGTTTTGATCCGGTTGGTCGAACTGCTGGCACAAAGCCTGCTCGTCCGCCTGACATTTGGGCAGCTCGAAGGTCCGCAGGGCGCGACACAGTTCCGGACTGTAGCCTAAATCTACAAAGAGGAAATAATAGAAGACAAGAAAATGATAAGAAAAGGATAACAAGTGTGTCAATAAACCTCTTTTGTTCAGTGTTGTTCACTCTGATCTAATCCACCCACAAAGCGATGCCTTCCTGATCCCCCTGAAAAGGTTCAATATCAAAAACACGTTACATTTTACACTTTCACGCTTTGCTAGAAGAGTGATTTCACAGTCAATTCAAGGAAAGAATGATCATTGTTGCCCATCTCCTCCTAAAACTGCGCACATCCAAAGCAAAAGCTCACTGCCATTACCTGTGTGTGGCTGGTCCGACGGCCTCTGGGGACGTGGGGACGGGGACGAGGACTCCTGCAGCAGCCGGCGCAGCCTCCGCACGTAAACGGGCCTGGTGCGGCTGCCGATGGGACCGGGGCTCTCGCCCAGCGCCAACAGCCTCGACCTCAGCTCCTTGTCCGTCATCCCACTGGTGTCCGGCAGCAGCCCGTCCTCGTCGTCGCCTCCCTCCTTCTTGGGCGGCGGCGGCCGGTTCTCCTTCCCGGCCTGTGTCAGGTCGGCCTGCATGGAGCGCCAGTCGTAGAGGACGGTGTCCTCGGTGCTGCTGGCGCTCATGCTGGAGCTGAGCGAGGTGTTGGCCGTCGGCGGGACGTGGGTCTCGATCAGCTCGTGGCCCTGCTCCGAGTCGGTGTACAGGTACTCCACTGCTTCGTCCAGGTCCTGGATGAGCGGCCGCCCTCCCGGGGTGTAGGACAGGCTCGCCAGGCGCTGAGGCCTGACGCCGCACGACAGCCGGCTCATGCTGTACCTGGGGGTGCACCCGGTGCCTGGGGTGCAGGGCGGGTCGGAATCGTCCCTGGACCTCCTCAGGGAGAAATAGGTGGAGCTGGAGGAAGATGAGGCGGAGTCCGGCTGAGAGTCGTAGTCCTTAGTCATCAGGGCGTCCTCTTTCTTTAGGCCCTCCAGGTTGTCCTCGCCGGGAGCGGCATTTGGGGGGTTCTTCGTAGTTCCCTCGCTTGTGCTCGTCAGATCATCAGTCATAAAATCCTTGCTTCCAGCAACACCATGGCCCTGCATGGCCAGTATAACCTCCGCAAGGTTTCTTTCGTAGGCGTCCATTGAAGATTCCTCGCTTTCCTCCAGAATGAGCGTGTCACACAAAGTCTGCGATCCAGGAGCGGAATCGGTTGCGCTTCTGGAGAGGATGAGCGTATCCGCCTGGCTGCTGCTGCTGCCGCCACTTGGACCAGCTGTGAGGGTGCCGGATGCCACGTCCCTGCGTTCTGCCGGATGTGCTGCTCCCACTGTGCCCCTCCCCGAATTGTACGGCGTACGACAAGCTGCGTGTGGTGAACTGTAAAAGTCTTCCCTGCTCTGAGATCGGGGCGTCTGCCGCCGCGTTCGGACCGGCGCGGGGAGGTTCACCTCTAACAAAGAGGACGTGCTGAGGAGGCTCTCGGAAGGTCTGCTGGTTCTCAACGAGCACCGGCTCAACCTGGAGCGAGTCCTGCCCGTTACGAAAGGACTGGGCGTGAACGAGAGCGGTAATATCCCAGCGGCTTCATCCTGCAGGGTGTCCGCCGCGGGCCGATGGACAGCGGGACTACCACACGGTTCAAATTCAGCCGCCGCAGAGGCCCCATGCACAGCGGGGTGCAGAGGAGCATCCAGTGTACTGACGTAATGGTCGCTCTCACAGCTACTATAATGACTACTACCCGACCCGCTGCTAGTGACACTAACAGGGGAAAGGACCGGCTGCTCTGGTAAATCCACCTCAGGCTCTGATAAATATTTGCCCTCCGCTTCGCCGTCGCTCTCTGCCAAAGCGCAGGAACCAACGACCGTTTTCTCCATGTCCTCCGCCGTGCCATCGCCGCTCTCCCTGCAGAAAACGTAAACGTGATCCGGCGACGTGACGTCGAGGCCCTGCTTGTGTAAAACGGTGGCCACGCGCTCTGAATCCAGGAAGTCGGAGTACTCGGACATGTCGAACGATAAGCCTTCGGGGCGCGGTTCAGGAGATTCAGGACTAAAAACAGGGAAATACTCATTGACATTTCTGAAGCTCACACTCCTGCGACTTGCCCGCCTGCAGGAGGATACTGGGAGAGTGTCTCTTCTAGAGGGGGAGCTTCCGCCCTCAGTTGTAGCACCTTGTTCATTTGTTTGTGATCCGGACGCAGCGTCGTCAAAAAATACCTCCTCTTTACAACTGGGCATTGCAGCTGCAGGTCCCACTGCAGACACACGAGTGCTTGATAGTATGGAGGGATATTCGGATGCACAATGCGAGGCGGGATTTGTCCAGTACTGGCTGCGATGCCTCTTTGCGTCCATATCAGAAAGTCTGTTATATGACGTTCCTCTGCAATCTGGCCTTCCATTAAGGTTGGACAGGTTGAAAAAGGATGAGCGCCTTGTGCTGCTCAACGGGGCTTCACCAAAGTCACTGATCGTGGAAGAGTGGGAACTGAAGCTGAACTCTGTTTCAGGGTAGCCGGACGTGTCCGTTTGATCGGAATACACAGCTGTGGAGGAAAAAAAGATGTTATAAAAAGGAAAAATCCTACTACCAGCCAACCAAATCCTCTTCATTAAGTGTAGGACAGTTTGGCATACAGCCATGTACAACTATATGTACAATATATTTAATATTATATTGTAAATACAGCGATTTAGGAAGCACTTGTTCTTTAACAATCACGCATTACTATGACAACTTGCTTGCAGCCAATCATGACATTAAATTATTGACCAGCTGAATACATATCACTACTTTGTACTCTGCATTCAAGTGGTGGGATTTAGATGAAGTGTTTTAAGTCATCCCGGATAAAACAGAGGCTTTGAAAAAAAGACTCTCACAGTATTGGAATTGAGGTAACTCGTCTTCCTCAGTTTCCATGGAGCTTAACTGGTACTCCTGCAGGAGCTGAGCACATCTTCGATTCTCCTGTTGCTCTGCAAGCTGCCCCGGTGTATGCCCTTCCTAAAGAAAAGAAGGACAACAGGTGTAAACCAAACTGAAGGAAACATTTACGGCCTTGTTAGAGCGCAGGGGTGGCAGCATTTATAGGGGAAAAAAGAACAATAACAATAAAAACAAGGCTTACATTATGTTTGATGTTTGGGTTCCCTCCGTTCATCAAGAGCAGCTTCAGATTCTGGTAACACCCCCACACAGCAGCAATGTGAAGAGGAGTCAGGCCATCCGATGCCCTGGGAGAAATATTCACATTATGATTAACAGTGGCGTTTGACTATATTTAAACATATCCCCAAATAAAGGAACCTATTGGATGTAATGGAAAGTTGCTGCAGGTTTTATGGGAGGCAACCACACTGTTAAAGCACAACAATCTATGCAACCTTCACATACACTAGATCCACAATCAAAAGAGACTTCGCGGTCATTAGGGTCGTCGTGGCGCAGGGGTTAGGTTGGTGGTTCGAGTCCAGGCTGCCCCATGTTCCATGTCGAAGTGTCCCTGAGCAAGACACCTAACCCCTAATTGCTTCCCAGGCAAAAATGTGAAAAAGCCATGGGTTTAAAGTGTAATGTAAGTCGCTCTGGATAAAAGCGTCTGCTAAATGACCTGTAATGTAATATTAAAACAATTTCAAACCACCCAGGCTTCACACTGCAGTTGTTTAGATAGGTCAAGAGTAAAATTACCCAACAAGGTGTCATGGTGATTCAGGACTTTTGTCCATACCTGACATTGGGGTCTGCTCCGTGTTGCAGGAACATTTTCAAACAGCGCTTGTTCTTCTCAGTCTCTTTGCCGGCAGCCAGATGTATCGCAGCGACCCCTTTACTGCCCACCAGGTCAGGGCAGGCTCCTTGGGAGAGAAGCAGCATCACCGACCTGCCGATGGAGAGACGCCGGTTACAGTCGGACATTCTGATTGTTTTGGGGAATCCAGGTGTGTTCTATTGGAAAAGGGCATGATGTCCTCTTCTTTATTTGAAATAAGAAACTTTGAGTGATGAGAATTTTGTTTTCAAAAAACAAGTGACTGATATTAAGGGGACTATGTTCATTCTATAATAGAAGTATAACCACACAGCCAGTTACATCATATAACCAGCTGCGTCACATAATAATATGTATATTTATTTCAATAACAATAGTCGTCGTACAGGACAACACGCGTTGTCTTTTGAGGACTTCAGAGACGTCATTACATGTCAAAAAGACTGGAAAAACTTCTTGAAACCACCACTTAACGAATCAACTGCATCAGGAAATGAACTGGGATGGCGTTAAAGGCATGTTAACTGGTTAGCTAGCGCTACGTAAACACATGCGTGTAAGGTCAACAACAAAGACATCACCTCGGGTCTCCGTCGTCCACCGCTTTACACAGTTGACTCTCGAGCCTCCTCTTCTTTCGATCCATGACCAGAACTTATCGCGGTATCAAGGTTCTGCGGTCGAGTGTCGGCACATTTCGACTCGGACCACCGCCGAGTGGAGCTCTGGATATTAACGTTTAACGGAGGCTAGCCGCGCATGCTACGATGACAGCTAACAGAAGAAACATATTCAGCCAACGAACGTTCAGTTAACGGCGTTTGAATGCGCAGTCATAGCGTTTCATCTCTAGTTGTGCGTCTTAACCAGATTAGAGATGGACTCGTCGAACTCTGTTTTCGAAGACCAGTTATTTATCAAGTATTCTTAGCTCGCGGGGGGAAAAAGACGGATATGTTTATTGAAATTCCCTCCAAGACCGCGAGCCCTCCCCTTCTGGTAGCTAGCGGAAGTCCCGCCCCTTGTCTCCTCCGATTGGACAATGCTGCCATGTCACGTTTTCTTTGGTACTTATTATTGCTAATTATTATTAGCTACTAACAGTTATTATGCAAATATATACTTTATGTTTTAGGTTGCATTATCAGCAGAATAAAAGCTGTGTCTTACGTGTTCAGTGCATACTTATGTATACAATTATTTTGCAGCAATAAGACGCCAATGCAGCTAATTCAAAATAAGTAATTTGCATACATACATGAAGAGTACATTATGTGAATTACAGCAACATTTCTAATGGTGTTACATCCATGGCAGTAACAACATGAATGGACAATTTTTTGAATTTCACAATCAATCCATTGATAAATCAATCAATTAGCAATCAAATATGAGCTTTACTACACAGCAAAATTGTGGTTGATGGATTTCCCAACAAGGTTAACGAAAACAGTAGAAATCCCATAAAAGGTAAGTGATCTCAAAATTGTGCAACTATAAATACATACAATGTCAATAACAATTATTATTTTCTCTATTAAATATCACATACAGCACATGCTATTTGAACACATGCTATTTGAAAGGTCAGGACTAATTCTCTGAGGATAGTTGTCTTAGACGTTGCAGAGGGAAAGGAAAAGGAGTCCCATCAGAAGGAGCAGGAGGCTGGGGTGGATGGATCCAGCGTGGTCGGGCAGTTCACAGTTTTCGTAGGGCTCCAGGCAAGCAGCATAAGCAGTAACATGGGCAATGTAGTTCTGCTCATGGACACCGTGGAAAAGATGTGCCATGGGACCTTTGGCAAAGATGGCCACATCTTCTATGCCATGGGTCTCTGAGTCCAGAGGGACAGGAGCCTGCTGAAGGTAATTATTATCCGCTGAGGAAGAGGAGGACAAAAGGAGCATTAAGGTAGTTTTCTAGCACATAAACAACAATGTTAGGCAATGCAGCTAAATGGCAAAGAACTCAGATTTTTGACATACTGTCAACAAAAATTGATTATGGACAGCTTTACTGCAAAATTCGTGAAAGCATTTAAAGTGAGCATGTGGTGGTTCATGATGACACTCGTGTCACTCTTCGCCTAGACTCTTAAAGCCCCTACAGTAGTTGACACCAGGTATGCTGTGACACCACAAGATGGAGCTACTAAATAACTTTGTTTCACTTACATGACATTGTCTCATTCATGTCAGGGCGAGTTCCATTCCGGTATCCTGGTCCATTTCCATACACAGCAGTGGTGAAGTGCTTGTTGTCGTTAGCTTTTGACCTGGAAACCCCTGTAATTCACAGGACAAATTGTTATCTACCATTCTCAGATTTGTTATTCAATTATCAGACCTCCCCCGGAACTCGGGTCAAATTCTAAGAGGGAATTTTACCCAAAACAGAGTTTCCCCTGGCAGAATGTCCTCCAAAGGCAAAGACGTGGGAGTGGTCGGCAGTGACCACAGTCAGGGTGTCAAGTTCACTGGTGAGTTCAGCTGCGCGCCCGATCGCCCGGTCAAACTCCACAGCCTCATACAGTGCTTTTTTGGCAGTACCTCCGTGGTGAGCATGGTCAATTCTTCCCCTTGCGGTCCAAAAGAAAGCAATTTTCCAATAAGCATTTGCACAATTTTTAGCTGCAACACAACTTCAAAGGTGTAAATTGAATTTATTATGTATATATGATTTGATTGGTAAGCAAGGTTTTAGATTGTTTTGGTCTTCAGAGTGCTTGACTTTTAAAAGTTCATCAACGGTGTGACAGAGACAGTTACATTTACCGGAGACCGAGCAGTGTCTTGCTATCTGGGAAATATGGAGAGAAAACGATAACACTCATCTTCTACAAAAAGGTAAAATCCTTTTGGGTTCTTGCTGAGAATCTTAATTGCTTTCTCCGTCATCTCTGTAAGAGAAGGGTCCATGGATGGATCACGTTCCAACTCATAACGGCAGTCTTTGGGCTCAAAGAGACCTAATTACAGAAAAAACAAGTTTTAAGAACCGAGAAACACCTTCCAAATCTGAATTTGATTTTGGTATGATTAAATGTGCATACTTGGAGTTCTTTTGAAATACTAACTTGCAAATAAACTGAGATTGTAAAAATTAAGATAATTGTATTATTTCTTTTCAAAACATTGTTTCATCCAACAAATTTGTCAAAGAAAATTGGGTGCAGTCATATGGGTTTTACTTAAAAGTGTCTTGAGTGATTAATTGATGACAGAATGGGGAATGAAAAAGTTATTTCGTACCCATTAGGAAGTCCGTATTTGAAGGTTTGACAGCATCAAAATCAACTTTGTTCCACACATATTTTGCCTTCTGTAATAAAACAGAAAAATCCGTTTTTGGGAGGAAAATTCTTTCTAACAACTCATTAAAAAGTGTAGTAGCAGAGTGACCATTTACCTTTTTGTTCTTCAACCACCCTTCCACAAGATTCTGCCCATCGTTTCGGTTTCCTGTCTCAGTTGGATACTCAGGGTCTTTAGTGGTTCTCGAAAACATGTAGCGACGACCTCCACCAAGAATGACCTGGAATCAAATGACACAGTGACAGTTATATATTTCATGTATTTTAAGGTTTTAGTAGATTCCCAAATCCGGATTAGGATTAGTAAGTAACCATCGTTATGATCATTCACTTTATTGCAAGGTAATTATCGAATCCGATGGTCACATTTCAGGTTTTGACTTTATATGGATTGGTAAGACTTATTGGTTTATTATTGCCAACAAAAAAAAATGTCACTGCATAGAAAACCCAGAATTAGTAAATCCATAGAACCAGACTTGCTGTAGGTGTTATTTTACGACTAGAGAGTTGTGCATGCCTATATTCCCATGCATAGTTATTATATTAAATCACTGCTCTGGATAGCTTCAGAATTAGTTTTATATTAAGACTTACATTTATCTCGGTGTTATTAACCAGCTGGTAAGCAATGTCCTGGCAGCCATTTTGGATTGCCTCAGGGGTGAGGTCTGAATCACAATACCAGTCCCTGTTGGCAGTGTGAGCGTAGTTTGCAGCAGGAGAGGCGTGCTGCACTCTGGTTGTAGTCACAATTCCCACAGACTTTCCTGTAACATATAGATGAACTGTGGTCAATATTTGTTTACACCGAATATATTTATTGACATGGATACGTGTACGCTTATGAGATGTTATCTAAGAAAGATCAAGCCACAGTAAAGACAGATCTCTCATTTGTGGGCACAATTCAGATTCTATTTAAGATAAACTGTGTATTATTATATATTGGGATAAAGAGCTAAGCAGGCACACACTGTGAACTCTCTTATTATTCACATTTTCTAAAAATATCTGACAGGCTTTTGCATTGCATAAGGTCAAAAGGACAGATGTTGTGAGTGACAACAAGTAAAAAAAACAGCGAGAATGTGACGTACAGAGTAATACTGATCGGTCTGGCTCAATGTCCATAGTGAAGAACACATAAGCAGGGACTCAACTTAACAGCATAACCAGTGTAGTAAAGTAAAAGCTGTGTGAAGCTGATACCTACCTGCTTTCTTTGCACGGCTCAAAACCGATTCGACTTCGTTCCCGTATGTAGCACTGCAGTCGTTCCTCCGGGTGGCGGCAGTGACGCCCAGGGTGCCGTAATTGGCCTTCACACCACACAAGTAAGCTGTGGCTGTGCCAGCGCTGTCTGGCATCTGCTGGTCCACGTTGTACGTCTGGAGGGCCCAAATATATATTCACATAAAACATGTTTGTATTCATCATCTCAGGCATTTAGCAAGACTCATACATGCAATAGACTTGAGATTAGGAACTTAGATAACTGCAATTGAGTTATTATGTTTTTAATCAAATAACAGGTATCAAGAGTTTTTTTATCCTTATTTTACTTGCCTAAACTCAATTCAGTTGTTTCAACATGTAGTGCGCCCATTGAAGACACATGGCCATTTCTTCGTGTTCATTGTCCATGCTGACACACATTACAGGATGCCTTGGCATATAATGGATTTTGGATGAAATAGTGTAACGGGCCAAGAGTGTGATGGCTGAAATATTGATGAAATGCTGCTTGTGTCACCAACATAATTATGATGACAGCCTTGCCAAACTCAAAATACAGCCTGTTAGCCAAACTAAAACCGTTCTTCACATTCAGCAAAAGAGGAACACGTTCGGTTGGCTTGTTAATGCTGTTTGATTTGAGGTCATTCAGAGTCAGATTATTGATTTCTGATTTCTAGTTTTTGCCAAACTGACTCATGGCATTCTGTTAAGAGCTAGATAACACTCGGTGTGTTAGAATATTATAATGATATTTTCATTTCACAAGTGCGTGCATGTTATCCTCATTACTACACACAGCAGTCTGAATGTGTCAGAGAGAGAGTGGGCCGACCTTAGACAAGCCCAGGTGAGGAAAGGTGTCCATAACCAGACTGGTCTCCTCCCCAGATTTCCCTGCCAACTGGCCTTTGAGGATCCTGGCAGCCGTCACCGTCGGTAGTCCCATACCTGGAAGCAGATGGAGTCACACCTGAGTGTTCAATGACAGGCCAGGCAGGTACAGGGTGGCCATTGTGCACCATGTAGCCTCAACGCTCAGCTAACGTGTTTTAACACGTTAAACTCGTTTTTAACGAGTTTTAAAGGTGATGACAGACATCTGTGTAATTTACATAACCACAAATAGTGGAGAAAATGCAAAGCAGGTACAGCAATATTCTACCATTCTACGCCTTTACTAACCTGATGATACTTCTCTTTAGTCACTTACATTAAAAATCCAGGGCATCCTGTTCAAAAACACTGATACAATCTTAAACATGCTGTTATGAGCAGTTATGTGGATTCTGGTGAAGTCAGCCGTGACCATGAATCCATAGTTGATCCATAATTATCAATAAAGACTTTTTTCTAAACTTGCTGCAGTTATGTATTAGATCAGCTGACACATGTGGACATACACATGCAGTGTAGATTGTGGTTTAGCCTCCTTCCCCCTTCCAAGCAGTAATAACTACTGGTGTCCACATATGAACATTCATCTTCTTCGTGGTTCATAGTTCATTTTCTTTGCATTGCATTCTCTCTCGATCTAGTTGAACTGCAGCACAATGATGACAGAATTCACACTTTCGAGAGATAATGGCTTCTCTTCGCCTCAACAAACAAACTGTACTGAAAGGAAACATGTTCAACTAATTAAAGAAGCCGCTTTGATGCTGAAGAAAGACTCACCATCCCCCAGGAAGAGGATGACGTTCTTGGCTCGTTTAAGATTACGCTGAACATTCAGAGCAGTGTGAAGAGTCTGTCTCGCTTTGTTGTTCCAGTAGCTGGCATGTAGCTCTTCCTCTAAAAGCAAGGAAAGGTCATAGAATGTTATACTCAATCGGACGTGGTTCGATTACATCTGTGCCCACCAGGTGATTTTTATTTTATTTTTGTTTCTTCTTGTAATTGCATGTGTATAAATATCAATTCTTACATCACAGCCATTAGAAATAAGAAATCCAATTAGCAAAGTCATAAATAACATTCATTTTTACAAGTGATGCTGGAATAATAATACAGGACAATTACAGGACAAGATGCTATTAAAGTGAATGAACAAAGTCTGATTATGTGACCTTGCTCAGTCATTGTTCTCTATAGGAACACTGTTATAAATATATATATATATATATATATATTTTAACAAGTAAAACAACTGTCATCACTATTTCGTCTCTACAACTTTCTGCACTGTGTACGAACTATAATATGTCTTTGTCATTGAAATACAGTTGTATAAGTATAACATGACATATAAAATCTATCTAACAGCAGCACTGTGTATAGTTCTTACCTGAAATGGACACAGTCCACTGCACTGAAATAAGAAGGAATAACCCAGTAAACAGGAGTTCCCGTATGCTGGCCATGGCGTTGAGTGTATGTGAATTTAAGAAAGGCAAAGACGGGCTTTTTCTTCAGCGCTGGCAGCAAGGAGCAAAGGGCACACGGAGGAGCCGCTCGGCCTGCAACGGGAAATGGCCACGACGTTTCACAATCGGTTATCTAAAGTGTCTTCTAATTATCCATTATCTTTTTTTGTTTATTAGTTTATTAGTTTGGGTCAGCGCCCTGCCAAACAAAAGGGGTCCCGCCCTAAAGTACACCTTGTGAAGTACATTTCAGACTAAATAGGATCATAATATGCTAAATGAATCGTCCTGAATTTAGCAACACTTGAATCGAACCACTGGGACCATCAACTCTGTTTCCAATGTTTTCATAAGGTTATACATCAACTAAGAAATGGGCTCATTTCAGACTTCTCTCTGCAACCAGAGGAGTTTCTCCCCGATGGCCACCTGACAAAATGCCAAAACGTTACAAAAGGTTTTTCACTTGCAAAGGCGAGACCAAGGCAGGTTTGAGACCAGTTGGTCTACCTCTGGTAGGCGCTACAGAGCACTGAACCCCAAAACCCGCAGACACAAAAACAGGCCGTCCCCCCTATGAGAAATAATCAGACATAGTGCACCTCCTCTTGCACTTATGCATACATGTATTTATATGTTTTTTGTGTTTTCCTTATCTTTTACATTTTTGTATATTTTTTTATTTGTAAAAACGGAACAGTATTTAGAGAATGTGGAGCGCAAAGAAAAAAAGAGTCATATTCAATGAAATTTGGGGGGCAGAATCTGATTGAATTCGGATGTTTTACAGAAACATGGATGTCTCACAGTAAATCGGCTCGACAAAATAATTATATTAAATGTCAATGAGTACAAGATGGACACAGCTGCTCGAGGATTGTGTAAGTCACACAGAATGACCTTTGATGTCTCCAAATGGCCGATGCCCTTTGGGAGACGATTTAATATGCCAATGCTTTCTGTACTGAGATTGAAGTGGCACTGAAGTGTGTGCATTGATGCAATAATGCACTAAACTCTGTTTATTGCTCTGTTCTGTTGATGTCATGGTCCCCTCATGGATTTTTATGTTTTAAATTGTCTTTTAATTCCTGCATTTTATTTCACTTTATTGTATGAAATGTTATGATGTGAAGCACTTTGAGTCTGCCTTGTGTATGAAAAGCGCTATACAAATAAAATTGCCTTGCCTTGCCTTAAATGTTCATGATCCTTTATTTATTTTTTGGCAATATGTCAAATTAAAGAAAGGACTCAGCAAAAAAAAAACATCTTTTCTTTCTTTATCCTTATTTAAGTAACATTTAGAAAATAGTATAAAAATACATTGAAAAAAAATATTGCTGACAAATACATTCTTGTACAATCTAAATAGATCTGAAAGAGAACAGATTTACTATTTGGAACCAAGTAGGTGAAGATACAAATTGATTACATCTGAACAATTGTTACATATATTTCAGTCCTTACAGAAGTACAGTTTCTTCCTGAGTTCTTGTAAGGTCTTTTGGTGTGGCAGCTCGGTACGCCGTGGTGGCTTGTAGTTTAGGTTTCTCTTACCATCATATAATTATTTATTCCACCCGGACAATGACGATGATGTACGTCAGCCGCTGTGTGTCTAAGTGTCCACAAGCTCAACAGTGAGCCCTTGGTCTGTTTGTTTCAAGTTATTCTAGGTAAAGCCTCACATAATACTGCATGGAAACAGTAAATTACTGCTTTTAGCTCATTTTAACTAGCTTTTCAGCAACGACAGTGCCCACAAAGAATAAATTCAAAAAACAAGAAAAGTACAAATCAAGCTAATGAAAGAAATAGTTAGTGCAAGTTAGTAGTCACGTTCTGTTGATGTTGTGGTGACTAAGTTTGTATTTGAATACTACCTACATGCTGAAGCCTGCACTTTGGATTCTCTCTTAGTTGCTAACTGCATTTGTCCGTCCCTGCATTCTGAATTGTCAGCCTGTGTAAGTAAAATGTTTGTGTGTATATGTACTCAGTGTCTGCATCGCTGTATACATACAAAGTATTTCTGTGCGTGTGTGCGTTAGGGGGTCATCTGAGTAACCAGAGGAAGCTGAGCAGGCCAAACAGAAGGCTTGATGTAGGGGTCGCACACCCGCTTGAGGTGTGGCTGTGGGGGTGAGGAGGGCAGTTCTTGTAGGGCTCCAAGCAGGCAGCATAGGCCATGACATGCGCCACGTAGTTCTGCTCTTTCACCCCGTGAATGAGGTGAGCCATTGGGCCTTTGGCGTAGATGGCCACATCCTCCCCGCCGTGCGTCTCAACATCCAGCGGGACAGCCGCCTGCTGCATGTACTCCTCGTCGTCTGCAGAGATACGTGCGGGTTGTAGAATGTAAACAAACGTGGTTTTAGGCAACTGTCTGCTTGGACCATCAAGCGTTAATACAAAACAGATGATGTTATAGACTACGTCAATAAAAGTGAACCATTTCTGGCCATATTAACTTCACTTTGACTGGGTCATATATCACCCACATTGAAAGTCGCAACATTTCCAACAATTTTACATCCACATTGTGGTCAAATAACTACACTAACTAACTAACAAACGTTGCCTTATTTGGAGTATAGATGCTCACTTCCAATGCTTCATATTCATTCACAGGGATACATAATGAAATAAATCCCTTACTTTTAAATGTATTTGTACTTAAGATGCCAAAAAACATAAACTCACACTGGTCTATTTTAAAAGGACAACATTTTAAAAGGTAAGTCAACCCTGGGTATTAGTGTTTCCACTTTCAAGTAGACACACTCATGCAAACATTAAAGCCAATGGCGCAGAACCAGAGGCGGAGGAACTGGATCATTGCCGCCTAGAGTTGCAGACTAAAAAGAAATACAAACATCTATTTTTTAAGTACAATTACATTTACAAAATAGCGGTCTACGCTGAGAACATAACAGAGGACGGCAGTGCCATGGACGTCATATTTGCTTTCCAGAGCAAAACCCATGCGAGAGTCAGCCGTAACCACATTGGCTTACTCTTTCTGCGGACGAGTGAAACATCTGAAATGTATTAGTTTGTGCTTACAGTAATCCACCATTGTGATGTTCCCTCTGGTTCCATTTATGTGGACGTAGCCGGGGCCGTTGGCGTACAGGAGACTGGTGAAAGGCATTTTGTCATCAGCATTCTTTGGTGCCAGACCTTGAGGACACAAAAAAAGAGGTCTCAGTATCTATTTAAATAAACTCTGATGTACTTTAAGACACAAATACAAAACTAAGGCTTAAAGTTGCAAAATGCGTAATCACAACATCAAATATTGCGTTGTAAATGAATGTATAAAATGTGTATTTTTAGGCAAATTGATGAGGGTTTGCATCTGATTACAATTCTTGGTTTGATCCATACCGAAAATGGGATTTCCTCGAGGTGTGTTACCGCCAAATGTGAAGACGTGGGAGTGGTCAGCAGTGACCACAGTGAGGGTGTCGTGTTCCCTCGTTAGCTGCGCAGCACGCTGAATGGCTCGGTCAAACATCTCAGCTTCTGTCAGGGCCAATTTGGCAATGCCACTATGGTGGCCATGATCAATTCTCCCTCGTAACACAAGAGAAACAGAACAAGGGAATTAGACCTGCCTCCAAACGTCTCGCTCGCACAACTACACTGGACTCATTCTAGAAGTGGCCAAAAGGACAATGTCAGTAGGATTACGTTCCATGTTGCTTTAAGCCTTAAATTCTGTATTAACTCTTGGGTTGTATAGATGAATACATCTCACATTTAAATAAATAACAGAATGCATTTGTTGTTTTATATTGACAATAAAACGTCCCACAAGGTACGATGGAGTCTTCCATGAGCATAATTCTTGTGGATTCTTATGAGAGTTTGATGTAGTACTCATCTTCAACAAACAGAAAGTATCCTTTTGGATTCTTGCTGAGGATTTGTATGGCTTTCTCTGTCATCTCCACAATGGAGGGGTCTCGTGTTCTGTTTCGGAAAACCTCAAACCTCATGTCCTTTGGCTCAAACAGACCTGGAACCAACAAAAAGAAGAATTTTTTAGGCACTGCAGAAATAAAATAGAACATATGGTGGTGTTACCACAGCTAAAAAACATACTGGAAAAATCTGCTCATTTATATAGATTACATCTTTTCATTTGCAAATCAATCTCACATTAATTTATCACTATTTTCTTCTTGTTTCTAAGCCATGGAGATGGTTTCAGAAATTAAAAGAAGGTGAACCGGTCAACAACTGAACATATTGTGTGTGTGTTTTTAAATTATTGTACATAATGTGCCTATGTTGTTGTATATTGTGATTTTTTTCTACCTGTGTTGATACTCACCCATCAGCCGGTCAGTAGCTTTAACATTTATCTCGTCAAACTCCTTCCTGTGCCAAACATAGTGGGATTTCTTGTTCTGAAAGTCAAACCAGAAGACATCTTTGATTCTAATCTTTGACTCAGTGCTTTAAAATGTTTTTTGATATCAGAAATCACTGTAAATGAATCCTACCGGTTTGGCCTTGAGCCACACGTCAATGAGGTTCCTTTTGTCTTTGCGGTCCCCTTTGCGAGAGTTGGAGGTGGGGTACTCTGGGTCTGGAGTTCCTTTTGGCGTCATGTACATCCTCCCTCCCCCCAGAATCACCTTTAAATGGAATCATAGTATTCACTGGCTTGTGACGATCATTGGAGATGGTTTTCACAAAACTGAATAAACTACCAAGAATTTAACTTCATTCACCCTATTTTTCATACGTGAATACTTATTTGATTGTTCGGCTTGATAATAAATGCACCCAGCGGTGTCGTTCTCACGTACATCAATATCAACATTGGTGACCAGTTGGGTTGCGATGTCGACGCAGCCCTGCTGGTGGGCGCTGGAAGGAAGATCTGCGTCACTGTACCAACTGCGGCTGACAGAGTGCGCGTAAGCAGCGGCCGGGGAGGCGTGCTGGACGCGGGTGGTGGTCACTACACCAACTGATTTACCTGGACGAAGCAGAGAGACGCTTAAATCAGAGGCAAAAGGGCATGATGCACAATGTGACGTTGGGTTTTTTTTTGTGAGAAGGTTGCAAATTAACGTTCATGTTGAGTGCAAACCTTCCCCTTAATGTACTGAAGTGTATGACTTTTTTTTCACTAGAAAGGCTTTTCATTACGGAAAAAATTGAATTCAATGCTCTTTACGTATGATTTGTTGCGGTTTGCGCTCCATTTAATACATTCATTTAATTTGAAGAAACGGTTGCTTACATAGAACTTTCGTTACCAGCCTTTGAAGTTCAAAGTTAACAACTAAAAATTTCTATAATTAAAACTCGCTGGACTTAAAGCAGAATGCAGACCATAAAACAAATAATGCACAGCACACATAACTACAGCTGGTGAAATCTTTCTATTAATGTACATTGAAGGGTAAAATCATTCACAAACAAATCATAAAAATGCCTTAATCTCTTAAGAAGACGTATTCTGAACATTGCACTAATGCCGCTCAAGTAGCAGCGAACAGATGAACCTTTTTCCTTGCACGTTATTTTAAAGCCAATATAGTCATTGCATATCTTGAGATAACAATGTAATTCAAACCAGTCGCCCTTTCTAGCACACAGCACACCCATCAGCCGGGGTCAAAGGTTACCTTGAGCTTTAGCACGTCGTAGAACCGAGAAGACCTCGTTGCCAAAGGTGGTGTTACACTCGTAGGCCACTGCCTTGGCGCTGAGCCCCACCGTCTTAGCGTTGGCCTTCACCCCGCAGTGGTAGGCCGTGGCAGTGCTGGCGCTGTCCGCTACCTGCTTGTCCACGCTGTAGGTCTGTGGAGTAGAAACACAAACGCCTTGATGGGAAATGATAGAGAGACACACGCTCAATACTCAGACTCACTCAAACTAACACTTACTTATAAGCCACAATAATTTAGGGATCATACTTGTCCCTGAAGCTCAATCAAAGTGGTTTCTACCACTGTGTCAGCATTTTCAGTTAAAGTGCTGTTTTTAACCAAATGCCTTTGACACAAAGGTTTGAGGATTTAGGTCGGAGCGCCACGAAGCACGCTGCACCGCGTTAAAAGACAAAAGCACACACACAACCACACACACTCAGCCCCCTGACCCACCATTCCTTCTTCCCACATCACTTTTTCTCTCTCTCTCTCTCTCTCTCTCTCTCTCTCTCTCTCTCTCTCTCTCTCTCTCTCTCTCTCTCTCTCTCTCTCTCTCTCTCTCTCTCTCTCTCTCTCTCTCTCTCTCTCTCTCTCTCTCTCTCTCTCTCTCTCTCAATGTGTCAAAGTTTACTTGCAGTTGAACTCAGGCATTTGATCAGCCTGATAAGCAATGGCTCAAAAAGTGTCGTAATGTCACCTTTGACAGGGCCACGTATGGGAAGGTGTCCATGGCGAGCATTGTCTCCTCCCCCGATCTGCCTTCCATCTGACCTCGCAGGATTCGAGCTGCCGACACTGTGGACACACCCATTCCTGCACGGGAGACAATGATTTACAGGCAACGTCACTGATAGGCCTCATATATATGGCTTTTCAGCTCTGCCATCTCAGTCCTCCGGTGGTTTGAGTTCGATCTTGTAGAAACTGACGCAGCCAAACACGGCCCTGTTGTGAACATTCATAAAACCCAGATGGAATATTTGTAAATGTGTCAGACAGATTGAAGGAACCAAAATAATGAATCCACTCATGGAAAGAGCATTTTAAGCAGTTGTTTTCTAGGAGAACTAAACTTTCAAACAAACTCATAGCAGAGACCGACACTGACTCTTGCGGGCATGTAATCAGACGACTATTGGTCAAACATGTCTTATAACAGTGTAGCTACCATGTCACAATCTGTCAACATTGATTTTCAAAAACAATTAAGGGATTTCTTTTATCTCTGACTGTGGTCCAGTATTGTACTTCACTCCTGACGTTATATCCATACCTTCCGAAGCCCAGGACACAGATGTACAATCTCCCTTTGACATCATAGTCATAAAAGTAAGAATATGCTCTGCACACAGAAACCTCAGCCGAGACCACCCAGAAACATGCCTGTGACACCTGATTTAAAGCAGACATTCTAGGGGTTCAGAGGAAGACACTTAAATATAGATTTGGTTAACTAGCTTCATTTTCAAAAAAAAAAATATATATATATATATATATTTCATGCCTCACCAGCTGTAAATATACCACACCCGAGACAATTACTGTGAAGAATTATAAATTATAAATGAAATCCAGTCCAGATGGAAAGTTTTGACAACTGGCAATAATTATCCATTTGGTAAATAGTACAGTCACTGAGATGCCAGAATCAATGCCAGGTTACCCTGCAGAAACACTCAGTAAACATTCAAATTTAGCTACTGCTGATCACCTGAGCTAATGAATGAGATCTAGCAAGCGATACAGTGAAGGAGGAGTGAGGAGCAGAGTTAACTGGGACAAAGCAGTGAATAACAGAAATAAAATGAGAAATAGAAATCCTGTCCTCTTTGTTTGTGTGTGTGTGTGCCTTGGTAAACAGAGCTGCTCTGTACACAGCAGAGGCACGGGAGCAGCAGGGGAAAACACAATGCACACTGCTTTTGGCTGGGGATTACACCTCCATGTGGAGCCTTAACGGCTCTTTGCCAAGGCCCAGAGAGGCCCGACCACAATACAAAGTAAAGAGATCGATACCACAAACCTCCTTTCCTACCTTTAATACCTTTAATATACACTATTAAGTTGCTGAGCACTAACTCTGTGGCACAATGTTTTTATGGGTCAATGGGGATGGGTTGAAATTCTGTTTCAATAATGTGAGGATGAGGATGTAGATGCACAAGTACCCGGGTGTAGTGACTCACATCATTTGGTTTCACACTACTCTGCTGATAAGCAGATCATCGTGCCACGATTCAAATGTGTTAAAAAAGGCCGTGAGGAAGAAGAAAGATAGGAAGAAAGATGGATGAAAACAATGCACAATAGGAAATTTGAAATAATAATCAGGTTTGTTAGTATTTTGTGGGGAAGAAAGTGCATAAAAAAAAAATAATGTCCTGGTCAATCAGCTAAAAAGAACCCTGTGATTGAACGGAAGATTAATGATCAATTTTAATCAATTGAATAATATACTATCCGTGAAAAGCTTTACTACAACCACTTGTTCACCTGCTCTGCCTAAATGTAGATACACACCTGCACCACCAGTTACGGTCCGCTCTCCAAACAACTTCCCCTCTATCCATTCTGTGCACATTCAACACTGGACACTTGAGCACTGTCATGCATGGAATATTGAGCTGTGTTTGTCATTGGCGCTGGATCTTCCATCCCAACCATCTCCATGTTGAATGTCTGCTGGAATAGATTTCACAATGATAGCATGACCTACCGTCGCCGAGGAACAGGATGAGGTTCTTGGCTTGGTGCTCTCGGGGGCGGAGTTTGAGGGCAGCATCCAGCGTTGCTTTTGCCTGAGCATCCCAATAGGCTGGTTCCCTTTCAAGTTCATACAGTGCTGCTATGTGGAAACACAAATACGAGTGCGGAATGAAATAGTTATGTGGGGATTGTGGATGCGTAAGAGGAGATCTTGCACCTTGGTCTCTGCATGGCTGGAATTTTACAGCTTCGGTGCATAAAAGCTTCAAGTAAATTTGCGTGGGTGCCTGCTCCCTCATGCATTTCTCTGTCTCTTTCTAAAACTTTGAATTATATTTAATTTTGGGTTACAAGTTACAACGGTTTTCTCAAGAGCTGTCCAAATGTCAAATGCGGCCATGAAGACACTTTTTGCGTGCTCTCGTGCCCACTGAGAGCCACGGTGAAGGACTTCTAATACAAACGGTTGTTTTCTTGCCGCACACGAAAAACAACAGAAAGACAAACAGCCGACCACACATTTTAAATAAACAGGCATTGACAGGCGAAAATATACTGACAGATGCTTCTATGCCTCCACACAGAGCACGGTGCTCAACCACATGTCTGTCCTCACACACTCGCCCCTTCCAAGGTTGAAGCTACCTGCTTGCACGTCCCACAAAACGCTACTAATATCCCGACGGCAGGCAGCAATAGTAAGTCTGTCGTCTCCTCACCTTGGCTCTCCATAGCGGACCGGCCGACAGCCAACAGTATGGGGCCCAGAAGGATAAGCAGGTGATGGTTGGCCCTGCATTTTGCCGTCGGCATCTTTAATCCTAACAACCTGGAAGGCTGGAGAGGGCTGACACAGCCGACTATTCACCACAGCACGCCGAGACCCAAAGATGCACAGAGGCAGAGAGTGAGTGGGGCTGCGAAGACCACTGGCCCTGCCTTTTTAAAGCTCTACTGGGTGTGTAGTGAGGACGGGCCCGACTCAGCTCATAGGCTTAGAGCCATAAAAGAGGGACGAGAACGTTTGAGAGAGCCAGGAGAGAAAGAAAGAGAGAGAGAGAGAGAGAGGCTGAGACCACACAAGAGTTCTTTACCATCCCGGCACCTCTGCTCACTTTGATTCAGTACGCACTACCCCCACTTGGTTGTTTTAAAAGGTTGCTCTAATTTGGCTGTTCTTCTTTTCCCTGGCTCTCCGACTCTGAACTGCATATGATAGAAATTGGAATGGTTCTTTGATGTGGTAGTGTGCAATGGGTCTTTTTTATGCAGCAGTCTTTAACAGGAAGAGAAAAATTTGTGTTGGCATCCATCATGACACAAATCTCTTTTTCCATTTCTTTCACCCCATCCCCTGGAAAAACATCCAAGGGGGGGGGGGGGGTGACGGGGAGGGGAAGCTACCTATTCTAGAAATATCATGACTGAGAATGGTTTTGCTTTGCTTTTCATTTCAGGAAAAATGGTCATATTTCCATTTCCCCCCCTGCTAAAAGACCCCAATTTGTTACCTCCCTCACCAAGTCGTCTTGGCTGGTCCTTCTGTGGGAAGCGAAGCAGGGGGAGCATTTTCTCTCTGTGAGGTAGTGGAGACCGCCTGTGGAATGAAAATGTCTCTCCTCTACGCAAACAGTTAATGTGTGAAATGAAGTGAGTTGGGCCAACTGCGTTCCACACCGCCAGAGGAATCAAATTTCCCAAGGAACCCGTCTCGCTTCGTGAACTTGTTAGGCGGAATCTCGTTACATCTCAGAGCCCTGCAAGACCTCTGCTTTTTGCCAACCGCTCACCCGTTGCCAACAGGGCTTTGCAGTTAGTCACATGTGCCTAATCAAGCCTGCAATAAAATCATAGCAGTGATCGGGGGGTAAAGAGGCCTCACGTGATGTGGCTCCCACCACATGAACTGGAAATTCCAGCAGCAGAGTGAAAAAGCAGGAGCCGTTGTTGAGGCATGTCTTTCTTTCCATTTGTTATGGGTTTGCTTTTGATACAAGGTTGATCTTATGTTGGGAGAGAGTCTAATTAGTTTCAAGCACGACAAGTGTGAACACCTGGTGGCTGTTTAAGGTCTCAGAGGGGATCATCCGCCCACCGAGAGGTGCTTAGTAGCTTTGGTTGGATGATTACATGAGAGGCCTGAGTCCTTGTGAGAAGGGGGGGAAATCCTGGGAATTAAGAAAAAACAAAACACAATAACTGTTTCAAAATAAAAATCCCAATGAATACTACTACGGATGATGCCCAACTATACCCTTATTTCAAACTTGACCTTTGTATGAAAAATGTCCCAGGCATCTAATAGAAAGTGTATTAAAGTGGGACATTTTTAGTGCAGCACATGTTGACGGTTGAGCTGACAGCGCAGAGGAAACCGTACTCTGTCGGCTTCTCTGTGATGTGTTCAATTTCCTGTTGTATCCATCCCAGAAATATATAGAATCTGATATATATTCTGAATAACTGTAATCTACATTGGAGATGGATACAAACCGTTACTAAAATATTGTTTATTTTAAATCCATTCAATCGATTGCCTCATGGAAGTATATGTATTTTCAAATGGTGGATATTTCTCTTTGGAATGAGAGAACATTTATGCCAAAGAGTCTTTTATTTTGCAAAAGAGAAAAGCATGTGGAGATCATCGTATCTAATTAGTTGAATCCTATTTCAAATCCACATCCCTTTCTGAACATAATAAACAACATTGAAGATCAAATGACCAACTGTCATGAGAGCTTTGGGGGAGTTTCAGCCATAATGTATTGTGGCCTTGGAGTTCCACACTGAAAATCGCCTCTGTGTCCTCTGATTGAGTCGTCAATTGGCAACAGATTGAAAAGCGAGACATTCAAGTTTCTTGGGATTCCTGGGTCCTTTTGAAAAATGTTCTTTCAGGGGTTGCCCTGTAAGACTGATACGTACGGAACATAAAGCAGACCTTTTTTTAAAGGGTAAAGAAATATAGGCCAGTTTACAGTTACACGAATCCCTACTCCCTCACAGAAGCCGCCCCTCGCTCCATGCATCTGCACCCTGACTCAGACTCTCCTAAAAGTAAAGTACAAATGCTATACGCCCCACCGCTTCCATTCCCTCCGCCAGGCTCCTTTCACCTATAGATTGTGTGAATTACAGTAATCAGCCAGATGTTTGCTTCAAGACTATAATTTATAGAGGGAAATGTTTAGGCTCAGGTCCGAGCGAGGATATACATGTGGGTGGTGCCAGACCACACACATACAATTTCAAAGAAAGAGACAAATCCTTTTCTCTGGCTTTTTAAAAATGCCCGATACGCCGAAGGTGGTGGGGGATGAAGCTGTGGAAATTGATGGCAAAAGTTGTAGATGCTTAACATGGTATAAAAACAAAGGGAGTGAGGCAGACTTCCAGTGGGGAAAGAAAAAGACGTAGGAGTCTGGTGGCCCGCCAGAACTTAAATAGAATAAAAACACGGCCCTAGTGGAAAAACGATGCCTGGGATCTATTTTGGCCCCGTCACGAATATGACACACATTTGTAGAGTGACCTCCAGAAGGCAGATGAAGAATATATCTTCAATTCAATTTAAAGAGGTATCATAAATGATGTAACCCTTTTTTATGTGAAGCACTGTTGACTGAGATTCCCTCTCAGAACAGTTGAACGGATGATAAAAGATTTTACGACTGACATGCAACTCAATTGGGGGACAATTACAAGTGAACTGCAAAAAGGTACTTCTGTCCCAATTCCAGAGCTCAAGAGCTCACAGCAGCTTCAGACATCAAACATTTGACAGCTTTGAAAAGAGGGCCTTCTAATTTTTTTTATTGTACTCATAAAGGAAATATGCTGTGTGTGCATGAGAGTTCGGAGTGTGGGCACGTGTACACGTGCACGAGATAATGAGAGAGTAAATTAAAAAGACCAATGCGAGCGGGTCTAATGAAAAGAAGAGTCTGCATTTGTACGAGACAGACTGTGCGTGTGTGTTGTTATTTCTGACTTCAGACGTAAAAGTCGTGACGTGTAAATTCATATCCAGGCTTTTAACAGCAGTTTTGCATTGAAGAATATAATGCATTTGACATCATGTCATGAAGAAAGGCTTTCATGAGTACACAGAGACCACATCAAATGTTTTGCTATGGGTTGTTGGTTTGCTGTCCTAGGCCTGTTTTCTCGCTCTCTTAGCAACATCATGAATAGAAAATTCTGACTCACCTGCGTGGCCACATCCAGCGAGGAGAAGTAAACTCATGAACAACATCATCTAGCCGCTAAGCCGGAAAACCTCATCAGCTGTAGTATCTAAAGCTGCCCACTTTGCTTTTCTTGCTCCCCTTCTCCTGTTTTCTTGGGACTCAAAATGCCGAGTTAAATAAAAATGTTCCCACCTCCAAGGTGTCAAGAAAAAAGAGGTTATTTTCCTTCCACCCCTATAATTTAGTGGCCTTGGCTTGCATATTATGTTTGAGGCAGAGAAAGAGGGTAAACTCACTTTTTGCAGTATTCACCTTTTTCCCGGTTTGGGTCAGAAATATCCATCAAATCAGAGAGCAGGCCCATTTCCCTCCCCATCTTCATCCTCCACGATGCATCAAATCAAAGGTTTTTTTTTTGTCTCTTGGTCCTTTGTGGACACACGTCTGTCAGCAGCTCACATGGGTCAGTTATGGCTTTGTAGTTTGCTGCAGGAAATGTTTGAATTGGTTTCAGAGGAGTCAAATGGAGACGAAGGGTTTCAGGAAAGCAAGGGAATAAACAAGTCTGTTGATATTATACATTACAAAGACATGAATATACAACAGATTTGCGCTGATCAGCTAAATATTGATTGAAATCCAGGAGCGTGTGGAACACAGAAACCCATAAAAACCCAGTGAAATGCATTTGGTTTCAAGAGGCAATTGTTTTAATCAATACACACAATGGTGGTGTACCTGCCCTGCATTCCTCGCCTCCCACTGCTTACTCTGGATCTCCTCCACACAAAAATAGCCCTTATTACAAATGCATTCAAACATGCCCTGAAAGGTTCAGGGAAGAGAGAGCCAAGAGGAAAGTTTGGTGATGGGAGGACAGGGGTGGTGAGGGAGCGCAAGCGCAACCACCAAAAAGAAAAAATTTCCAGCTGCTTTTTACGTTAACTTGGCCAGTAAGGAACACAAGGAAGTTGCCAAAAAACACTCAGCGAAAAAAGATTACTTACTCCTTTTGTCAAATGAAATGAAGGCCAATAAGATTTTCTTTATAAAACAGGGAGATCAATCAGTGTGGAACATCCGGAAAATCAGAGTCTTGCTCTTTTTCCTCCCAGCTTTTGTTTTTTGTTCTGAAAGATGCTAAAAGAGAGAGTTCCCTTTTCCTACATGGCCACCCGGGCATGGTGCTTGTGCTTGCGGCAGGAACATTGTGTAAGGTGGTGAGGTCGACTGGCGCTTGAGGTCAGACTTAGGTTTATTTTGCTACTCAGACCTCCGTCCAAAACCATCCTCCACGGCGCTCCTGGTGTCCGCCAGGTGCAGCCCAGACAGAGCATGTCAGTAGCGGAAGGAGAACTGGACGCCGTCTTCGTATTTAGATGGCGTGGTGGTATACATTTACATTTACAATTTAAGCATTCAGGTCACACACTCATGCATGGATAACCAATAAGGAATGGGGTGGAAGCTTTCTGAGGGGTACACTGCACCATCCGGGGGAACTGCACGTGAGAAATTTGAGAAAAATGTTTGTTGAAGAGGTCAATCTTCTTTCATCCAGAATAAATGTTGCTGTGGTAAGATACATTTGTTGCCGCAGTAACATTACGAGTGACCATTTTTATGGTTTTATATCCAGGAATGTGGCTTGGTGACTTGACAATAAGCAGTAAAAGACATCATCTTAAAATATAAAAGATGAACATTTACAATAGCATATGAAAAACAAAGAGCTTGTTAAGACAACTATGTTGTTAAAGTGAGAGGTGTGTATACAGGTCAGAGTAGTGCAAAGGTTTGTACTGCAGTCGAGAAGAAATAGCCAGAGGGAAGGAACTCAAACAGTTTGTGTCCGCCTCAGGGTCCTGGAGGCGACCCAGTCATGGAGGGACGGCAGATTGCAGCCAATTACCCTCTCAGCAAAGCCACTGATACGCTGCAGTCTGCCCCCTGTGAAGTGCGCCCTCCTCGCTGGCCTGTTGAATTCCTTCACACGGGGTGTTTGGGCCATTTGGTTTTGCATTCCACCGGAATACCACAACCATCTACCTTGTCTTTTGTGTTTAGCTGTAAGTCGTTAAGTCTGCTGCCGGTGAACAGATGGTCCGGTGGGAAGGGCTCATCCACACCGGAGATGAGTCCAATGAGCTGCAAGAGCATGACGGACTGCCGGCTGGAGGATGCAGCCGTTGGTGTACAAAGAGAAGAGCAGGGGGGGGGATACTGCTTTGGTGGGAGAGAGTCAGACAGGAAGTTTGCGATCCACTTTCAGGTGTAGTCGGACACGTACAAATGGGAACGCTTGTCCTGCAGCAGTGACGGGATTATAGAGTCGAAGGCAGAGCTGAGGTCCACAAGCACGACAAAAACGTGGCGTAGGTTTCTGCCGTGCAGATGCTGGAGGGCCATGTTGACTGCTATGTGCACCGACCTGTTGGCTGTGTACGCTCGCTGTAGGGAGGGCGCTCAGAAGACCTCATTACCACAGAGGTCAGGGTCGATGGACCTCTGATCATTTGGTCCCGTTAATTCTTGGTCTGCAGGGGGCCGGGAAGATGGTTGAGGTCTTGAAAGAGTTTGGTGAGTGGTATTTCTCCAGTCAGTTGTTGTTGTTTCAGGGAGCCAATTAAATCCAGAAAGAAGCACTTACTTAACCACTTCTCTACTCTTTTGAGGCTGGATTATTTTGTAGGGATATCCAGCTGTTTAGCATTTGAAAGGTTAGCAAACTATGTAGTATGTGGGCGGAAAGGGGGAATCTCATCCTCCTGAAGCTTCTTTATGTTGCTTATTGTCGTTGAGAGAAAGAGAGACAACAGTTAATCTTGTTAATCACATTGAATGACCGTTTGTGCCCACACCCACCTTTAACAGACACACTATGCCTTGTGCAGTATCTGTTTCACCTGCTTTCATCTGCTAAACTTTTCAACCGTGGTCACCCCCCTTACAGAGACACCAGTATTTACGTAGGCCTTTAGTATTGTTGCTTTTCTTCCTCCTGATAAAACATTGTTTACTGATTGACAGTAAATGAGGGAGCACAAAAGGTTTGAAAATCTTGCTCAATAACGTTTTGCTTTTTTCGGAAGTAAAACGTTCATCGTGGTAAAACATCCCCCAGCCCAATCCTTCAAAATGCTTGATGAGGTAAGGTGCAACGGGGTGACAACAACATTGACGCTGGCAAAAAAGGTTCAATTCATCATCGGAGTACTCTGTGGGAGGCCGATGTTTGAAGCTGCGTATTCAACGTGTGTTTGTGGCACAAACATGTGAAAAGGAATTCTGAAAAAGATTCAATACTGGCAAACAAGGAAATACATTTTACATTTAATTGGCTGTGCAGTGTGTCAGTGAAGTGAATATCTTTTACTGTCAACCTTTGATCATAAACTCATTACCAACCTTTCATCAGATACTTTGCAATGAGTTGATGTTAGTGTGTAACGGCTGATTGGCTTCAGTTGGAGGAATACAAATCCATTTAATATTCTGATGGGTCTTTTGTTCAACAATGTCTCATTTCACTATTTGTAACTGAGCAGGTTACATCAGTCAAGACATCATTTAGATCTAGAGAGTAAGATGACATTTGTACATGTTTTGTTTCATTGTTGCACCATGGTAACAACGAGCAGAGGCCCTTTTCAATTGTTGAGTGAATAACAAAGGCTGGTCAAAAAGGACGACAATGGGTGCGGAATTTAGAGCATCACTTTTTGCCTCTGCATCGTTCTTAACATGGCCATGGCTGATAATCAATGATGCTTAGAACGTTCGAGTGAAGCTTTAGGTATTTACTAAAAGATGTTCAGCATGTAAAATACAGTGCCATTTTTTCCTGGAGATAAACTAGAATTACATTTATACAAATGACCCTTTTTGTTTTGTAGATTTTAACAGAGGGCAACATGGAGGACAATGTTGTTGAAGGTAGGGTCAGGAATACACATAACAGCAGTAAAGCCCATGAGGAACATTTTATCTTATCTATGTGAATTAGCTTTTTATGATGTGCAGAAATTAGGTCAAGTAGGTGAATAAGCCTGTCAGCAGCTACTAAGGGCCCATAGTTCTGTAACCGGAGCAGTAGTCTATGTTATTAAGTTATTAACTAGTGAGTGTGTGTTGAGCAGTTTCCTGTCTTGGGCTTGAAACGGACATTCCTGGAAGCACATGTGTTATTGTATCATTTCGTCTTCGTTCTCTGTACTGTCAATGCATGTACAGCCTATTGCATTCAACAAATTGTCTCTCAAAGGACTTGCTTGGTCTTTGCACCTTCCAGTGGTTGAAAAGTGAATTACTTAATTTGGTGATATGACAGGAGATGCTGTGTCAAGAGAAGACAGGTAACTGCAGAAAATGCTGCTATCAGCTAAAAGGCTTTTACAAAGAGATGGCACAAGATAGAACCACCATCACAAGAACCAGGGTTGAAAACTGTGACTGAAATGTATGATGAGGAACTGCTAACTCACAGAATAAATGGATGATTTATCCTGTTGAAAGGCCAGAGTAATCCAGATCCCTTTTTCTTCATGTTGTCTTCTTTTTCTTTTACATATGTGTTCTGTCAGTGTTGAAAGGGCAAAGATAAAGTGAAAATAAGTTAATTCAAGTTATGTCTACACATACACATTCTACACATAAAACGAAATTAACTTCAATCAATTAACACAAAATTGTCCAATTGGTTGGTATTGCTAAAGCAATGCTGTTTTTTAGATGAGATACTGTCACAAAAGAAAATATGCACGGAAACACTACAATGACTTATTTTGACAAATAAAAACACAGGCATTATCAAACTGAATAAACTATAAACAATGTATAACAAATATCCTCCTGTCTATATCAGTGGAATCTTAAAAGCTATTGTTGTACAAGAAATAATGATCTGCAATTTCATCAATAAATCAATCATTCGTATTGCACAAAAAAGGCTTTAAAGAGTGATGATAAAACACAAATGTTTTTCTATCATAATTACATTGTTGTGCACATCGGCTTCAAAACAAGTAACGTTACCCATGTGTGGAACTTTAACTGTCAGGGAGCTTATTATGCGGCTTCACCCGATTATGTTACACTGACTGCTAAATCTGTCCGTTTTTATCATAAATCAAGTTAATTACAGTATTCAGCAGAAATGTCACTGAGACAGACGTCATCAAAAAGACCAAGATTGTTTGTTTGTCCATCTGTGTGTTTGTGTGTATCAAATTCACAGACACGATGACGAAGGCATGAGGCCCACACATCTGTCCACAATAACATGTCGGTATGACTGCCTGCCTTCAACTAACAATGACAAAAACAACAACTGGCTTTACTGGGAAACCAATTAAGCATCAGGCAAATTTTGTTTCGGATATGGATTATTTTTAGGAGAGAGTTACTTTTTTTTCAGTCTTTTATTTAAATAAATACTCAATTTAATTTTAACAAACGGTTTCTTAAAACATGTTTCCACGCATATTAAATTAACCTGTATCGTTCATATTTCCTTGAATAGTTTAAAGTTAGATGTAATATTTGAATATTATCTACTGAAACGCAGGCTCGGTCTTTCGAACACCACCGCGTGATACATGCTAGCTAAAGCCCCTTGCTCTTAGTTCTTCAGATAGAAGCCTGTCCATTATTCACACAAACTTAAATAAAATCCAGACAATATATTTTTTCTCATCACATCCACGTTCTGAACATTGTGTTTGAGGCTTTGTTTATTTGTTTATCGAACCTTAATTGTTGTCTGTTTGCATTTTGTTTTACAGCTATTCAACGCTACTGGCTTTATGCGAGGCTACTAGCAGGAGCAGGTCCTTTAAAGGTTAAACCAACGCAATCTGTTGGGACTCCGGACCACCTGGGGGCGACAACACGACGACAATTTTAGTCTGCAAGTGGGCCAAGAAGAAGAAGAAGAAGACAGAACGAGTAGCTCGTTTAACAAATGTTTCCGGCCGACGGTTATTTTGCAGTGAAGACGGGTGGAAATTTTAGTTCATTTGCGGTCTGATAACGTTTACTTTTCCGGCTTTACCCTGGAGAACCAAATGGCCGCCCCAGGTTGGTATAAGACGTCCTCGGATTAGTAAACCGTGTAGTTCGCCCCGGAAGTATAACGATGGCGAACGGAGTCGGGCCACGGCTAAACAAAGTGGCGCTAACATTGACGATGGTAGTCGATGCATTTGTCTTCCCACACGTGTAGCGTGACATCCACTTTTTGTGGGAAGGTTATATTTGTTGTCGTTTGTCCCCCTCATACGAAATGAATAACACGTTAGCTACGTGCACGCTTGCTACTGTACGCACTGAACTAACGTTAACCAAACTAAACACTAACAAATGTGTATTTGTTAACATCTCGTAGGTCCTAATAAGGACAACATCCGGGCTGGGTGCAAGAAATGTGGATATCGTAAGTAAAACTTTGACATTTGAGTCATTAAAGGAGGGTTTTATTTGTATGTGTTGTTAATTATCTCATAATTAGCCAAATGTAAACTTGTATACAAGTGTTCATAGTTGTTCATCCATGCCCTCCTGGAATTGCAATCATTTTATTTTTTTCTTTCAGCGGGTCACTTGACCTTCGAGTGCCGGAACTTCGTCCGGGTTGACCCTCAGAAAGACATCGTCCTGGACGTGAGCAGCACCAGCAGTGAGGAAAGTGAAGAGGACGCACCTGCAGCCCGAAGCAATGAGAAGCTGGGCCGGAGCAGAGGTACAGCGATGGGCCTCTCGAGCTTTACTTCTAAAACTAGAACTACGTTACGTTATATCCATTAAAAACGTGCCTTGACTTCTCAGTTTTCAAATCTGTGCAGGTTCCCGTAATGATGAAAATGATGCGAGAAAAGGGCGACACAAACGGAAGAAGAGCAGTGACCGAAAGTCAAGAAAAAGGTAGTTTTCCTACCTTGCTGTCCAACACTGTTTTATACTTTAATTAGTGCCGGAAAAAAGTATGTCTAAGCACTATCCAATGCTCACAAAAAAAGGGCTGTTAACGCATGAAGTCATTGTTGGCGTTATAAATGTGTTAACGTGGCAATCCATTAACACCAACAATTGAATGCTTGGTTGCTTCATTTCCCTAAATTTAAATGATCAGACAGACTTTGAAGTTGAGATGTGTTTGCCTTTTGCAAAATTTGGGACCATTTTATAGTGATTTGAATTATTTTTGTTCTATTCTCCAGATCTAACTCGTCAAGTGACGAGACTACAAAGAAAAAAAAGAAGCGCAGCAGTTCCCACTCCTCATCGGACGAGGAAGGGAGGAAGAAAAAGAAAGTGAAAAGTCGGAAGAAAAGCAAAAAGAACAAAAAGGAACACGGGAAGCATCGGAAAAAAAGGGAGAAGAAGAGGAAACAAGAATCCTCCTCTTCCCCTTCTGCGTCTTCCAGCTCGAGTGAATCCTCAGACAGGGACTGACTGTACAGTGTCGGGATCTCCAACATCCATGAAAATGGTCCTTGGTATAAGGCCCTTCACCTCATCAAGGGTTTAAATGATTAATTAGTCCAAAAATACCCTTAAGTACGTTGCCTACAGCGGATACGTTTTATGCCATCATGCCAGTGGGGGGGAAAAGTCTTTGGAATGCTCTGAAGAAATTTCAAAAAGTACAAATCCAGGGAACATCTGTTATATTTTGTTTCTTTTAAAATGTTTCCGTATGCTGTCGTGTAGATTTTACTCTGAAATACATTTTCATCCTTGGATGTCTTATTTTATTTCTAGAACTTGTACCCAAAAATATTTTAAAGTGGACCAATTTAAATCCCAACCATGATTTGACAAGAGTTGCCATGGACAACAGTAACTTTTATTCTGTGGCATATTTCTTTTGTCTACTGGTGAACAAGACAAGAGATGTTGTACTTTTGACACTTTGCTAAATGTTTAGTTTGTACTTGAGCTACGACGGCTTTACATACAATGAAACCTACGGAGGTGCTCGTGAGGCCGTGTGTCTGCTGGTCATGTGATTGTCAAAGAAGAACCTCCCTCATCATTTGGTCATTCATAGACTTTATTCCACACACATTGTGTGTACGTTTTTGGCCGTCATTGTCTGAGCCTCTTTATACAGCTGTTTATTTCAGATGCACAATATACCACTTCTTCAGTCTGTACTTTTTTAGTCATCCCCATTAAGTGTTCTTTTATTGTAGTAAAATATATATTTGTATCTCTTCTGTCTCTAGTTCTCTTTCTCCTCCAGAGGGCAACAGAACACCTTCAACGTGAGGGTAAAGGACAGTAATCTTTCTGAAAATTAAAGATGAAAAGCATTTGTGTGGCTACGGTAAATATAGAAAACATTTCTGTACACTGGAAAAGCAAAAGTGAGGTATTTGTATCAGCAACTATTTTGTCTAATATGACGTCATGCCACACATTCCATAAATATTTGTGCTATAATATGTCAACACTTTAATAATTCTGAGTCTTAATTTGGACGTGAAGCTCAGTAACTACACAGTTCCTTGTATCCTGAACCATTCAAATGTTTGACGCAAACATAAATTGAAACATGAATGTGCATCAGGTAAATAGACGATTCATTGACGGCACAGGAAAAAGGGCCCAGAGGAGGCAGAAGGAATACATCGGTTTGTAGATGTACATACGTTAATACCTAACTCATCTGAGAGACTTAATGTATCTGGTACAGCCCTCCACTGCACTCCGTCTTTACTCCGCCTAGTGGTCGTGGTGTGAAAACGGTCGATTACCGAGCTGAATCCACTCAATTAGCTGCCATCACGTTAACTGATAATGTGCATTGGTGAAAGACAGACAGACCTACGGGAGTGTTACAACACTGCCTCTCTCTTGCTTCCTTTGCCAAACAATCCCAAAAAGAGTAAATGTCAGGGGGGAAATTACTTAATTTATATTTTATTCAGGGAGATCCAACGCAGCCTCTACCTTCAGTGTAACCCCCATTTCAGACTACCATGTGCTGAGGAACCAGGGCCGTTTACAGGAATTATTTGATTCTATTCCACCAACTCCTTAGATATTCAGAGGGCAGATTCAACAAATTTGTCAACTGAGACTGTCAAGAAGTCAATACAAACTCTGGGAACTGAGAATACGTGATGTCTCCTGATCCATGTTCTCAGTCTAGTCAATTTCCCGTGCTGTAAAATCATTGGAAAATGTTTTATTTAGGAGGGATAGGAAGCAACTTTGTAGCTCACTGATTAACTGGTCACCTCTAAAAATATCTTAAGCTTGTGTTAGCCGTCTGGTGAAACATTTTATGCAGAGCAAAATAAAAATGGCCGAGTACTAATAAATTCTAAAAAACAAATGGCACATTAATTACAAGCATACCTGTATGAGTATATGTACAATGCCATTATATGCCTAATATGCTTCCTGCAGGCGATAGTAAAGTGTTGACAAAAGAAACTTGGAGAGTGGGAAACTTCACGATTGGCCATATGGTGAGAGGACAACTTGCTGCAGAGGAACAAATGAAGTTGAAGGAGCGCTGCCATGTGCAGCCACACTGAGCGAACCATATGCTGTTTGTAGAAGAGAACCACTAAGTGTTCCTCTTTTAATCAGCTCATTGGTTTTTACCGAGCCTGTTGGGCTGCAGGAAAAGCAGCGAGCAAATGGGACTCCACTCAGCCATTTAAATGAAAATGAGACGCTCAGAGGGATGTTTTGGGGAGCTCAGCTGCAGTGGAGCGGAGACTCAGCCTCCATGTGAGCATCTTGATGTCAAACCTTTCTGCACAATACCTGACCAGAATCACCCCATTGGGATAAATTAACTCATTAGCATCAAGTGCGTTTTCAGCGCGTGCATTTGTTGATAGAACTGTCGTACGTTGCTTGGGCTTCCTGGTAGCCTCTGTGCTGGTGTCTGTTTTTAACCTTTCTTGCTCTTTATTTTTTTCCAGCAACGCCCTGCTTCAAATTCACACAGTTACATTTATCCGACCTGGGAGCGACCCAACACAACCGCAATCTCCTGCTGGACCCGGTGCACAGCTCCACGTACAGTTAAAGGCTTGGCACCTCTGCGGTATAGCCGTGGAAGAAGGATACAGATCGCTTTGGTCTGCGAAGCCAAACCTGAAACCTTTTGGTTGTGAGTCCTGCTCCTCTTAACCTTAAGGACACCACCGCTACACAGCAAAGCATATCCTCCCAGAAATAAAACAAAAATCCCTTATGCTGCACTTTGGTGGGAACAACCCAGGCTGAGAGATGGCGCCGGTTTTGCATCTGTAACCACTGTTGAAATATTATTTCAGAGGCAAGCCGTCCCCGCATCTTGGAGCACATTGAGACAAACCCTTTAAAAATGCATTAGGGCCAAGGGGCAAGTCAGAGGCTATACATTTGCAATCGATTTAGTTCCCGCAGCTTAGATTTCGTTCTTCTCTTCCTCTCCTGGCCCCCAAAACCATGCCGAATGTTGTAAATGACCTGTAGGATAAATAGACAGCAGGCCCCAGCCATCAAAAGTGGGGGCTGTATCAAATAATTCATTACAGGAAGCACGTTTGACATTCTTCCAAAACCTGCTGAGAGAGAAAACCAGAGGGCGATCGGGGTGAGTCTCTCCTCAGCGCGCTCGCTTTGGTCAAAAGCTCATTTTCCTGAGGTCTGTTATTACCGGCCTCGGTCCTGGGTTCCCATTCAGAGTGGAGCTTGTTCATATAAACCTTGAGGTTTTGAGGCATCGCTGGGTGGACTGGGTGGCTTTCACCAGGGAATTGGAACAGGGTTGCATTGGATCCCGATAGGTCTTTTTACGGCTAACCTGTCGTTGGACCGGGCTGCCAGGGGAGGTGATGGTGGTTCTGGAATACGGGTCAGTCAGAACGCAGGATGTGTACGCCTCGGTTCTGTAAACCAGAACTCCCTCTGATGCTTCTCTGCTTACCGTTTCATTTCTTCGTCATTTTATTTCCCAAGAGTTTTTCCAGATTAGTCTTAATGATTTATATTGTTATAAGTATATTATTCTACCTCAATTATCTTTGCATAAACCGTGATGTAAATCTTACATTTATCTGCATATTCATGCTTAAAATACATGAATAAAAGTGTCACTTATGAAAGATTTTGGGATTCCACTATTTTGTTTAAGTTTTAGCTCCGTGTGACAAAGGGATGATGGGTGATACATTTCTGCCAAGTTCACTCTGCTCTCATACGTATCCAGTGATCATCATGGCAACTGGTTTAAAGCAGAGTTGAGGGCTTAATTTGATCATATTTGTAAATAACCATAATGTGACTGTTATTCATTTTTCACTGCATCTTCCATAATAATAATAATAATAATAGGTGCTCGTCTCAGTAGCCTGTGAGCGTACTTTATTTTTTGATCGGTTCTATGCACTCCTTTCCCTCAATTAAGAAATATTTGAACTCAAGATGGTATAGAACACCATCCCAAGCTCTCAGACAACACCAGCCTTTTCCAAAAGGTTTCCGTCATGTTGTGTTCAGCACCTCAGCGCCGAGAAGAGCCCAATCACCTTGTTCTTATCCTACTATTGGCAGTTTGGAAGAGGTCGATTTCACACACGCACGCTTTTGACTTCTCACTCCTTTTCTGACCTGATCCATCCGTCCCACTGAGGTCCAGAAGGTGGCAGGAGTGGCACTGCTGACAACGTACCGGCAGGAAAAAAAATCCCAATATGTATCACCAACCACTCAACAGCTTCAGCACCACAAGTCTTTCCTCACTGCTCCCCAAATGACGATGGACTTTTTACATCAGACACATGTGTACTTTTTCAAAGATGAACAACATGGTGTCATCTCTGTGTCGGGACACGTCTGCTCACTCTTAGTTTTAATTGTTCTTTCCATTCCACATTTATATGGAAAGTGTTGTGTCCTTGTTCTGTGCCTTTTTGTAAGAGAGACATCAAACAGGGCAGGAGGGGCATGATGGCTTGAACTTGATGGAGATGATTGTTTTTTGTCCTGTCACACTGTCACAAGCCTCAGCTCCCTTCTTTCTTTTGAAGGGAAAGCTTAATATAAGACAGAAAACTGGCACAGATGTCGTCACTTTTTGTGACAGATGTTAATGAATGTTTTTACAGTCTGTTGGTCGCTTCAAGTGATGTTGAAGGTGTTTACCAAGTTTAGCAACAAATGGTGTTGGTTTTTGCAAAACCATACATCATTTTAGCACATTGTATTTATATGCGCTCAGCATATAATTTATTTTTAGATTTTTGGGAGAAATGAATTGGGAGTTTGCTGTTTTCTCCGCAAATTAGAGTAGTACAGTAAACTACCACTGTACATTTTGAATGTGTAGCGAGTAATATTAAGTCATACCTCACTTCTCCTATGTGACAAAATGAAAGTGTGTTTTAGGACGATACATTTAGGAAAAAGCAAATTGAAATGTTGGAATTTTAACCTTTAAAACGCCATCCTCAGAAGATTGCCCTGTGGAGAGACGTTCTATAATCCAACATTCAGCCTCTGTGGAGCAATTGACTTTGAAGTGTTTCATCTAGTGCGGCATCTTGCCCATAAACTGCCCACGGTTCCGATGACAAAATGAGCAGACGTGTGTCATTTTCAAGGTGTTTTCCTGGAGTGAAATTGTTCGTAAAATTGGATAGAGAAAAAGAGGAGATGGAGGAAGAAGCAGGAGGAAGAGGAGGAGGAAGAGGCCGAGGAAAGCCTATTAGCCAGTGGGGGAGAGTAAAGTCCTGTGCTCGCTAAAATGTTATTCAAAGGATTGATTATTCATTCTGGCCTGTGATGAGCCTAGCTTTAAATTCTGAACACTGATGCAGTTTAGTATTGTAGCAATTAATTGGTACATTCTGGGATAACCAGAAAACCACAAAAGCAATTTACCACAAAACAGCTCTGTCTGAATATCATTGTGGTTCACACAGGGAAGGCTGGTTTATCTTCAACTCAAGGGGGGGCTTCTTCTTCCAACCACTGTCAGAAAATAGCACAGCTCTAACAACCTCAGTGACTGTCTTTACGTGGGTTTATGGGAGAACCAGAAAGATCCAGAATCAGTCTGAGCCGTCATTGTGGCCAGACGTGCAGTTTCCCACCACTCTGCACCATCTACAAGCTAATATGAGAAAAAACAAATCTCTCCCACAAGATCCATCTAGTAGCTGTTGTAAATATTTGTTAAATCTCAAATGTATTAGCTGCTTTAATC